TGAGATCTCAGTGCAATTCTGGCAACTTGAGCTATTTGTTTGGTTTTCCAACTTTCTTAAAGCCAAGAAAAATAAATCCCCATTGTTAAATTTGTAGATAAAAACGATGATTGTCATTTTAATCTGCAAAACTGACCCCTTTCAGGTTTTGAGCTCGCCACAGATGCCGCTTCCTCCATGGTAGTCCACAACAAGAATTTATAGCGCTCTTCATGTAGAAAAATATGTGGTGCTTTCCAATGACTGGCAGTGTCTCTACTGTCACTTTCTGTTTGTTTGTGGTGCTGCAAGTGCACCTGAATAGCGTGCAGAATCCCGTGTCCATCGTATCTTAGGGACCCAAATATCGGTGATTTTTATAGTTGCTCATGTCATCTCTTCAAAGGAAATACAGTTGAATGTTTATCTGCTTCTGCTTAAAAATAGAAAAAAGCAATGTCTTTTTTTAAAAGAACAGTCAAACTGGCACCCTTGTATATAACCGTTGAATTTTTTTAAGAGCCCTTTAACTGTCTTTTTTTTCCTGAAAATGAAAGTAATGTATACCACATTGAAGATGCTCGTTCTAAACCGCTCCATTTCCAAATATCCACTGCTTAGGCCTCTGTTTTTTAGGACAGATCAACAACATTCTGCTCTTTTCTTTGAGGAGATGTAGATGTGAGCAGCTAAGATGACTATTTACTTGACAAAGGTGTAGAGAATTGGTTTGTTCTCCTTTTAGGACGGTTGGGGGTGTTGGGACAGGGAAGGCATTTTGAGGTGGTCTAAAGATTTATGAAAAATATGGAGTTTTGCCAAACAGATAATCTGGTATATTAGGCATATGGACCAGAAGATAAGTTTTCATTCCGAGTCTGTGACTTAGTTGGATCTCATCTAAAGCAGCAATTACCGATACTACAGACATTCTCTGGAGATCAGAGAAAGTCATGCCTTTGGAATGACTGCTGAGGTTTGATGTAATCACATTGCAATAAAGATTTTGAAAGCGAGTGAAGGGCATGTCAATTGAGGTGTCTCTCATCCCCCTTTTATGAGAACCGTAGAATTTTACACCATAGGTCATTCAGCCTGATTTTGCATATGCCAGGGTTTTGAAAGAGTTATTTATTACCTTGCCCTTTCCCCATAAATGTTTATACAGTACTTTTGTTTTCAACTATTTATCTAATTTCTATTACAAGCTATTATGATTTTTGTGCGTGGGTGCTATAAAAGCAACCAACCGTGTGCTCAATGTCTCCCATCACTGCATGTGTGATGGTGATACAGGTGCATGCCCAGAAGGGAAGCATCCAATATTCAGTAAAGGAAATGGCACAGCACCACATATACTGTTTCCTACGTGAGCTGAACTAAGGATTTTCTTCTAGCAACTTGGTTGTGTCTTGCTTTGTGTAAAGCTAATTCCATGGTTAAAATAAAACTTAAACAAAAGTGTCCTTATCTTCAAGCAGCACCTCTGTTTGACACAATAGAAAACCTTGTAGATAAATTGGTGGCGATCCGTCTTTAGCTGAATTCCTCTGAAGTGAGTGTGTCCTTCCGCCATTAATGTTAATGAGGTACTAAATTAGAAACTTGCTCTTTTGTACTGAATAATAAATAATAATAATCCTTGCATTTGATTTTGCGCTTTTCACGTCTTCTCGACGTCCCAAAGCGCTTCACAGAATATACTGTAAAGTGAATTGACTGTATATTTGTGAGCGAACGCGGCAGCCAATTGCACACAGCAGTGTCCCACGAACAGTCGTGGGTTGAAAATGACCAATTTATTATTGTTTTGTTTTTTTGGAGGGATTATTATTAGGCGTGTCGTGTAAGGAAACTTGCCCAAGGTTTCGCCCTCTGCCTGGAATTGAACTCAGGTCTCTCCCTTGCAAAACGAGCGCTCTAACCACTGAGCTAAAGGACTCCACAAGAATGAGGTGCTGTTTCCATGCTTGTTCTTGCACTGTCAGCTACACGATTCTTCCGACTATCCCAGCAGAAGTTTCTCGAAATTGATTGCAGACTTGCCTTTAAAATGGCATTTCATTTTTATTTAACTATGGAATTAGTTTTGCAGTGTCATTTTCACTCACTCTTTACTGAAGCTGTAACTAAGTGTCATTGAATAAGGACTATATATAGTGCTAGTTGTCAGGCGATGTTTTCTGCTTAAATTAGACTAGCCTCTCTTTTTACACCATGTTGTATTGAATCCAAGCCACAAGTGTCTGGGATTTAATACTTAGTGGTGAGACACTTTGTGATGAGCAAGAAGTAATGACACTGGGCCAAGCAAACTTCACTGACAAAAACTGCTTTCTAAGGATCCTTTTTGGTTTGGGCCATGAATAATGCAAGCATAAAAAAAATTCTGTGGCGCAGAGAGAGTAAAATATTTTGAGACATGCAGACTACATGGAAATTGATAGATTTTTGCAGCACAGAAACAGAGCCAACTTGTCCATTCTGGTGATTACATTCAAAATGATCTCCCACCATGTTAATCCTCTCCCTCATTCTCTGTTCCCTTCTCCTGCATGATTACAGATGTGTATTAAAATTGACCTTAATGTCAACTTCAGAAGCTTTTCATTTGTGGACATGGAATTGTTTTATAGTTATTCTTCATTTGTGAGCCAAGATGTTAAATGAGATACGAAAAGTAAACCCAGAACAATGCTTTCAGATCTGCCAAGGCAGTAGGATGAGGGGGCCATTGAGTCATGATCAGGAACAAGAGTCTTGGCTGTTTTTCTCCCACAGACTAAAGAAGTCAGTTGTAACCTTTTAGGAATGTAATCAAAAGCAACCAGAATTGCATTTGATTTAGCTAAATGACTGAGGAAGGGTTGTTACAAAACGATGACGAAAGCTACAACTATCTACTGTATATATAGAGAAATTACAAGGTCCGTGAATATTTGGTCGATTATAATGCATTATTTTCAATATTTTTTATTTCCTAGTTGAGGGCACATGTAATTCTGCTGGACACCATATTAAAAAAAGTCCTTGCATTTGATATAACGCCTTATCATGTCTTCGAGACGTCTCAAAGTCCTTCACAGAATATACTGTAAAGTGGATTGACTGTATATTTTGAGGGCGAAACGTGGCAGCCAATTGTATAAATCTGGGCATAATAGATCCAATTCTTCTTTTGCTTGTTAACGTTTCTCATTCTGAAATGTAAAATCATATTCCAATATGAGGAACCCTTACCCAATAATAATAATCCTTGAATTTGATATAGCGCTTTCCACGTCGGGAGGACGTCCCAAAGCGCTTCACAGAAGACACTGTAAAGTGAATTGACTGTATATTTGTGGGCGAACACGGCAGCCAATTGCGCACAGCAATGTCCCACAAACAGTCATAGATTGAAAATGACCAATTTATTATTGTTTTTGTTTTTTGGAGGGATTATTATTAGGCTCTGTGTGGAGTAAGGAAACTTGCCCAAGGTTTCGCCCTCTGCCTGGAATTGAACTCAGGTCTCTCACTTGCAAAGCGAGTGCTCTAACCACTGAGCTACAGGACTCCACAATAATAGCACTACATTGGTGCAAACAGCCGGGAATAGCAAAAGCTTTTGGCAGTAATTGCTATATAAATGTGTACATTTTAATTATACTGTTAGAAAATGTTTCAGTTTGGTCCTTTTAATGTCTTCAGTTCTGGCTCTGGAGTATTTACTGTATTGGTTAAGATGAGCACTATTGGACAGTAACCATGGAAATTTCACCTGTGGTCAGGATTGAATAATGATCATTTGTAGTGTCTTCTGAAGTTTTTACTTGGTTACCTTTTAGAATCGAGGGGAAGTTTCAGCGTTCTCTTTTTCAGCCAGAAAGCCTGCTGCCAACAGTGGGGCAGACAGGATGGGGGACATGAAGCCGGCCAGTGTTTGCTGAGCAAAGGGAGAAATGTCTATATACCTATGTTAATTTGAGCTAGTTAATGTCTAACTTAAATTAACATCTGCTAAATCTAATGACTGATTTGACTTTCTTTTTCTTTTTTCTTCCAAGTTTGTATGTATATTTAAAAAAAAATGCTGTATGGTTAGTTTTTAAAACACATAAGAGTACTTTAGAGATTTGGAGCATTCACAGTTGGTTATTTAGAAATTGCTGGAACTGTCTCCGACAGGGAACCTGTCTGTTGCTGACTAAGCGTTTCAGGTTGCCCACATTCTCAACCAGCAACCTTCCACGTGACTTTCAAAAGTGGTTTCAGTTACATTTCCAAGTAAGTCAATGTGCACAAGTGAACAAGATCCTTCAGCGATGTTGGTTGGACAATGCACTCTGGTTACAGGATGGTGTCATTGACTGTAAGAAAGGATGTGCTTGAAGGGCTGAAGGATTCTTGTTTTGCCGATCAATTCTGATGTTGCAGGATGGTTATGCATTCAATATTTAGGCACACCACAGAGAATTTGGTTTCCTTTGCATGTCTTCTAATGTAACACTGAGGTGCTGATGTGTTAACTTGACTGTCAACATTCAAAAGATATTTTGAAAACAAGAACAAATTTTCCTGTAAAACAGGAAGTGGGGTTCGAATTGAATGTTAACTTATATGAGTGAAAAGTGGGGGAGGAAAATTGGAAGGTGACCTAATTTGACAAAAAATCATCGGAGTCCTGTAGCTCAGTGGTTAGAGCACTCGCTTTGCAAGTGAGAGACATGAGTTCAATTCCAGGCAGAGGACGAAACCCTGGGCAAGTTTCCTTACTCCACACAGAGCCTAATAATAATCCCTCCAAAAAACCAAAAACAATAATTAAATTGGTCATTTTCAATCTGCGACTGTTTGTGGGACATTGCTGTGCGCAATTGGCTGCCGCGTTCGCCCACAAATATACAGTCAATTCACTTTACAGTGTGTTCTGTGAAGCGCTTTGGGACGTCCTCCCGACGTGAAAAGCGCTATATCAAATGCAAGGATTATTATTATTATTATCTGCTCATTTTAGTGTTGATTTCTTTTTCATTTAGGTTTATACTGAAGCTTTTAATGGTACACTGAAGAGGACATGAGGAAGGGCGTTGCACACCATACCAGATGCTATCTGCATTTGCAGCTGAAAGATGCACAGAACCAGGGTGTATGAGACTTGCATTAACCCAGAGATTTAGGAGATTGCTAGTCTGAATTTCCAGGTGAAAATTTAGTAAAACCTGACTTGGAAATATTTTAGCATATGGAAATTTTAATCCCTTTTCTATTGCTTAAAAGTGTGAAAGGCTAAGCCATGCGATTTTTTTTTTCTTGATTCTCTAATATTAACTCTCGTCTTGTCACCCAACACTTGTTAGCGAGTCCATGACGAGGGGCATAAATATACTACACTGACGGATCTAAAAGAGTTTAGGAGGAACTTTACAGAGGGCGGTGAGAATTTGTAACTTGCTGTCAAAAGCCTTGTTTGAAGTAGAAGGCATCAATGTACTTAAGAGAAAGCTCAATGCATATGTGAGAGCGAAGAGATTAGTCATACAGGTGGAATCTTGTGTTGAGTACAAACACCAACACATATTGCAGTATATGTTGTCTACAGCTAGCCAAGATGTTAAATGTGTAATAAAACAACACCAATTAAGTTTGCAAGTGGGTCACCAGACGTTTGATCCTTCAAAATCGGATCCTTGGCAAACATCCGATACTTTGCACACAGTTTGTCCAACACAGTGTAAAAAAAATCCTGTGAATAGGCTGAGCATTCCTCAGAGCTAAGGGGAATATTTCTGTACGAAATGCTGTTTTCCCCAATCTTTTTCCCTTTTTTGTGCCAGGATGCTTCAGTCAGTCCTATCCCATTAAACTCATATGGTAAAACATAGAATGTTAAAGCATAGAGACAGGCATGTTTATCCTCCGCATTAGCCTTCTACCTTTCTATTGTCTTCTCTCTCATGTATGCATCAGGTTTCCTCTTGAATTTGTTGATGAGCAGGGAATCTCTTAAAATATAAATGTTATTTTTAAAAAGTATTTTATTCAGCAAATGCATTTTACCTCACGCCAGCGTTCCTTCAAACCTGTTTTGTAATGCATCATGAGATTTTTTTTGTGTTGAATCACATAGTTGGCAATTGAGCAAGAAATTGGAGGCATTTTCCATATACTGTATTTCCACGCATTCTGTAGAAGAATTTAAGTCTTTCTTTTGTAAAGTAGTTTGTAATATTATTTTAAAGTCGTGGACCTTCTGCTTGATTAACCTTTGGCAACCGGGAGAAATTTCAGTTATTCTTCTGAAGTTTGGCTGCAGAGTTTCTCCCTCGGGAAATTAAATATGCTGAATAGAACCATTTTGTAGTTGGTCTTTTGGAATGAGCACTTACTTATTGGACCAAATTCGTGCTCTACAATTATCAATGTTATCGTTAAATTTATATTTTAAAACGTGCATATTTGGTGGTACTTAAGGGGAATTTAAGGAAAACGTAGCACATCAAAATATCCTATTACATTCGGTCTAAGTTTGCACTGTGCTAATTCCCAAATTGTCTTTTTGAATTCTGCAATGAATCCCAAAGTGCAACTTTACATTTGAACCTGATATACGTATGCCATTTAATGAGGAATTTTAGCTTGACCATCAAAAGCATCTAGAATAATCTGAGGACTTCATCTAAAAGAATTCAAGAAATATCATGGGTGATATTTATTTAATTTTTTTTAGTTCTCAAAATATTGCAACCTTAGGGGTAACGGTATAGTCCTAACTTTTGCTTCACCATTTTTGAGTTACGTGTCTGAAGTACTTTCAAAAATATTCTACGTATTTTACAGTCTGTTTTCCCTATGCATAATTGAAAACCTCTTGTAGAGCAAACCTTTTTCTGTTTGTATGCTGAATTCCCAACCTTTCTTCAGTGAAATTTGCTCTAAAGGACCTAGTACCCGCTCTAAGGGTCTAAATCCAGCACCAAATTAGTTTTTTTTTCTATGTCCTATAGGCTTCATTCCCATGTTTATATTTTCTTTTGCTCAGCCACGTGTGTGACACATGCAGATCAGCATGATTTAAGTTTATTGAGACCTGGCAGATATCCACATATTCATGCAACCTACACAAGGATTTCCCTGTGTTTGGAATGGAACCCACTCTCTCTCACTGGAGTGACGCACCTGTTTTCTCTTTTGAATGTTGACTTGACCACAATAAATTTCAAATAGTTTCAGTTCTATTTCGCTTCCCTCCCTCTCCTCACACCTATTTTAACCCACATTAGTCCTGATTCCAGCTGCTATTATTACTGCCGAGATTCATCTCATTGGACACTGAATAGCTTCCAATAAATCATATGCTTATACTCTTCCTATCTCACATCAGCTGTTTATGTCATATCCTACTATCTGTCCTGGAGTGCCATTCATGAAAGTAGGTCACAGACAAAAAGAGTTGAAATTTCCCAAGATATATGCCTGTGATCTCTCCCATCTAAAGAAGCCAATAATCATGCTTTCCTCTAGTGGCATAGGAATATAGGTTGGAGTTTGTTCCTAGCAGGGCAAGCGATCAACCTTAATGATTCATATCTAGGCCAATTCATTGTAGGGAAAATCATATGCTCATGCAAACATGATTTCTGCCTGAAAGCAGTTCCTAACAAGTTATTCTTTCCTCGTAGAAATGGAAAAGATGACGCATGCACTGAACAACATTAAAGGACTTCAGGCACAGTTCTGCCAAACATAGGCTTTGCTACAAGGAAGTTAAATCCATAAGAACTTTGAATAAAATAATGGGAAGGGGAATCTTGGGGTAAACTCCCAGAGGAAGATTGGATGGAGATGTGGAAGGCTGGAAGATCCACATGCATTAGATATGTAGAAGTTAGATCGAAGTAACAATGGAAACAAAGGGTAGTTTCTCTCTAAATATCCCACAAGAACTTCTGCCATTCGAAACTAGAAAACTGTTAGGGTCTTGTTTGTGACACGTAAGGACTGAATCAAACTGAATTCCTAACCTCTATCAAATGCTGTACAAGCTGTAAACCTATTATATTCTCTGAGGATGGATCAAGATGATGCCTGTAAATCTGCAAGATGGGAGAGAATAAATAGGCTTCTATTGTGGGCATTTCTCCACTAAAGAAAAAAACATAAGTGAATGTTTGGTGCTGTGTGCTTTGTGCGTCCCTGCACTCTATTGCATCTTGGGACGTCCTCCCAACGTGAAAGGCGCTTTACAAATGTAATTTTGTATTGTATCTATCTGTACGAATCCCATTTCGTTACCTATTGGTAACTCTTGTGACTCTGGTAGGATTGACCTTGATGCTTCACACCACTGGGTTACAGAGCAGGAAATCAGCCAAGCTTGTTATGCCTCCTCACTTTCCAGACACCCCAGAAGAGGTTTACACCTACTGCATAATTGTGTATATGCGCATTCATGCAAATGCACCATGAGAAGGTTTTCCAGGATGGAGAGCTGTTGTAGGCAGGAGGGAGCCAGCCAGATGAAGATGAGCTAACTTGATTTCATTCACCAAAACAAAACACATCAGCTTACTTTGCTGGTGGAACACGTTAGGTCAAAAGATGATAGTATTATAAATAATATGCAATCAAATGTTTGAGACTTTGTATCCTGACTTAAATGCTTGGGGTACAGGAAAGATTGGTACATGATCCGTTTGTTTCATGCATGGAGTCTTTTAAACTGCTCAAGCTACCACTGAAATACAAATTTATACTTGTGCGTTTCGCATCAGGCGGAATCCACAAAACACTAATTCAGTCTTGCATGGAGCTTCTGACTTGCTTATTCCATTTGATTTTTCCTCTTTAGTTCCTCAATGTTTCTGATCCTTCATACAGTTGTCTCGGGCTGTTCCCTCGGATTGCCTTCAAAAATCCCATCAACAGTGAATAACAGCAGCTTGCATTTATTTAGCGACACTCACGCAGGGTAGCATCCCAGAACACTTGACAGAGTATGCTGAGCTGGGGGGAGGTGACTGTAGGCACGGTCGAAGAGGAAGGTCTTGAGGCGGAAGCAGGGAGCAAGGCAGATGGATAGAGGAAACGTGTTCCAGAGTTTTGGGCTGTAAGGGCTGAACATGCCGCCACCGATAGTGGAATGGAGGGCACGATGGATAGGCAGGAGGCCAGAATCCTCCTGCATGTCTCTCGTGTGTATCCAGTCATGATAATGCAATTCAAAGAGAAGCTCTGTATCCCATGTAATAACTTTCACAACATTTTAGAAATTCTTTCCTTAAAATCACTTATTGAGCTATCTGTTAAAAGAACAGAGGATTTCTAGTTAATTGATAGTTCACAAGTCTTTCACATACCTTTCCTCTTCCATCTGAGTGGAACAAAACATTGAACAGGAATTAAAGGTAAAACGTTCCACCAATTTGGGAAAGGAAAGATGAAACAAAAAGGCTATGGAGCGTAAAGGTTTGCATTCAATATAAAGCCCTCTTATTTATACTACATTTTATTATACCTGCTGCTTGTTTCTAAACCACATAATGCTGATAATCATCTTTGCAAATTGGAGATCTTGACTTTGCTCACAAGCCTGGGAACATTTACGAAAAAGGAAAATTATGTAGTGATGTACACAATATGAAATCCATGTTCTTACACTATAATAAAAGGGCAAATTCTGAAAGCAACTGTAGATACTTTTATCTGGATTCCTGTCTTCTCCATCATTATTGATGTGGCAAAACCAAATATTCAGTGGAGTGATGGATTTGGTGGGGTGGTAGTTATATCAAATAATAATAATAAATCAATGCAAAGTCTAAGGTTAGACATCAATTGTTCCATCTGTAGTTTTCCACAGAACCCAAAATTTGATTTAAAAAAAATCAAACTGAGAATGAATAGAGCTTTGATGTTTCACATAACATAACATGGAGTAGGCCATTCGGCCCTTCGAGCCTGCCCCGCCATTCAATCATGGCTGACCTTCTAATCTAACTCCAGCTAATAACCTGACCCTGCCTGATCCCCATATCCCTTAATCCCTTTTGCAATAAGAAATCTATATCTAGGTCTTGACTAAGCATCAACAGCCCTTTGGGGTAGTGAGTTCCATACATTCACCACCCTTTGAGTGAAGAACTTCTTTCATTCTGAAGACTGACTGATGGCAGAATGGACATACTGGAATCCTAATACCATTTAGTCAATAAATCACAACATTAAGCTCTCCCAGAAGCTTGCAAACAAGATTAGATTACACAGCATTTGCCAATTTATATCCCATGAGTTTTTTTGGGCTCTTGGCAGGGGTCTTGACACATGCGGAAACCAGTCACCATGCTTAAGAGTATCCAAACCAAATAAATTTCCATGGATCCCATCTACACGTAGCAGTCCCAGAGATAAATTGTTGGAATGGAATGCGCATTCTCTCCCTGGAGGCACGCATTCCTGCTTACCTAATTCTGGAAAGTATTAGGCGCAGGTTGGCAAGACCCAAGTCTTATGGACCCCAGAGTGTGCGTTGGGGTATTGCTGGAGTCTAACCATCTCACACCACATAGCTTGCCATTGATATCGCTGTCTGGCAAGCTTTCCTGCTGCTTGCCCAGCTAGGATCTCACTACTTGTTAGGGCTTTGGCTTGCAGATTTAACAGGAGCTGAGTGGGAGGACTCCCTGCCCCCAGTGACTGATCTGTCCTTGCAGGTCTTGCTGATCCCATCAGAATTTGTAGTGGTGCTGCATGGAGAGAAATGTTTGACAGAGATTTTAATGTTTGAAGGTCCCAAAAATAAGGTTCCTGATGGATCAATTTTAGAATGTTATAGAGGAAAGCTTGTAATGTATGAAAAAATATAGTGCCGACTGATTTCCTTTTAAGCAGCTTTCAGTACATGTACTGTGTCAGGGTATTGGCAGCACAGCAAAAACAGGCCAAAGAAAATGTCCACATCAGCAGATGTTTGAGCTCTCTGTAATTGTAGCTTTGTTTGACCATGTAGGTCAAACCATACTGATGTTGATGTTGTGCTGCTTACAGTGACAAACAGACTGGGGACTGAATACAGTAAGTATAAAGGTACAAGATGGGTGGGTCATGGAAGTAGAAAGAAATCGATCTGGAATGCACTGCCTGAAAAGGTGGTGGAAGCAAATTCAATAATAACTTTTAAAAGGGAATTAGATGTCTACTTGAAAAAAAAAATCGGAGGTTATGGGGAAAGAGCAAGGGATTGATACAAACTGGATAGCTTTTTCAAAGAACCGGCACAGACACGATGGGCCAAATGGCCTCCTTCTGTGCTGTGAGATTCTTTGAAAGAAATGAGACCTAGACAGTACTTGTGTGATATGAGACTGGCTGCAGCTCGATGAGAGAAATTGATAATTAAATTGATAGTCAAATCAATTCCTCTGAATGGGAGATGTAAGCATGAGGACCCTTCCCTTCAAGGCCTGAGTATCCCACAGTACAGCAACTGTTTGAACCATTTCTCAAGTAACCTTTAAGCTAAACTCCAGCAGAAGCCTGATTCTTTGAAATCACAATTTGAATGTTTTACTTTACAGTTGTTGAGTACACTTGTTGAATTGGTTTGGTCTAAGTATCTGTGATAAATGTTTAGAGTATACTTTCTGTAGATGTTTTGACCGCAGCATCAATAAAGAAATGCCATGTTCTTAATAAGCAAGAACTACTTATATAAATTGGCAATTCAGTTTTATTCATGCTTAAATTTTAGTGTGTTTAAATTTCAGTTTTTGTCTCAACGAGTGATGAGGTCTCCTGATTCATGATTTTATTTTAAAACAAATACTGTATTTCATATAAACAAAACGCAAAATACTGCAGATGCTGGAAATCTGAAAACAAAAACAACATTGAGTCATGGATTCGAAACGCTGACTCAATTTCTCCATACGTGTTGCCTGACCTGCTGAGTGTTCCCAGCAACTTCTGTTTTTGTTTACCGTATTTCATATATTCAGAGTTTTGACCTCTCTGGTATGTTATTTTGACTGCAGTTTTTCTCCCACCCTTCAGAACTCTTCCACAATCTCTCCACATTGCTGGCTCCCACTGCTTTCAAAACCCACCTATAAAAATATCTCTTCGACTGCACCTGCACTCTGCTTCCCTTCCAGCTTGATTCTCACTCAAACATACACATTAGGGAGAAGGGAATAGAAAGGTATCGGAGAGAGTTAAGGAGTGAGTGGAGGCTCATGTGGAGTATAAACACTAGTATAGACTTAATATCACAAAGGTTGTCAATGACTGATCCAATATTACAAAAAATGTACAGCATGGAAACAGGCCACTCGGCCCAACCAGTCCGTGCCAGTGTTTATAATCCACACAAGACTTCACCCATTCCTTTACTCCTCCGTTCTTTTCCCCTCTCCCTGATGTGAAGGTTTCTCCTCCTGTTTAATGCAAGCACACTAACTACCTCAACCACAGCTTCAGGCAGCGGGTTAACAATCTCACTCGTCTCTGCGTGAAGTTGTTCCTCCTATGTGTTTGGATCCCCTTGTTGCTATCTAACATTTGTATCCACTGGTTACTCCCCAACGAGTAGAAACAGGCTAGTTATATTAACCTTATCAAACCCTTTTTATGATTTTAAACACTTCTTTTAGGTCCGACCTCAAATGTCTTCTCCAGTGAAAAACGCCTAACCTATCCAGTCTATCCTAATAGCAATAACCTGTTAGACCTGGTATTCTCGTAAACCAAATGGCCTGTTTCTGTGTCATATGGATTATATAAATCTATCTATAAATGGGGATGGCACCTGAAAGCCGGATTTACTGTAAAGTGTATTTTATGATAATAACCTTTGCATTTGATATAACGCTTTATCACGTCGTTGAGACGTCTCAAAGCACTTCACAGAAAGTGTCCAGAGAGTGGAGTGACTGTATTTTGTGGGTGAAATGCGGCAGCCATTTGCGCATGCCAGTGTCCCATAAACAGTTACGGATTGAGTGAGTTTTTTTTCAGGGATTATTACTCCTTTGTAGAAGAAGGTGACCGCAAATTTTGAAAGCAGCATTCTGCCACAAAGAACCATGAAACGAGTTGACCAGGACACCTCTTTTTGAGCTTTTAATGGGCACAATAATTCCAAATCATATGATTTTCATTTTGTATTTGTTTTGATGGTTGAAGATGGGGTTAAACATTTTGCCATTAGCAATTTATTCTCACATCCTCCATTTGATGTAAGAATGAACCGGGTTGCCTGTGGGTAGTTTTAAGATATTGATGTCATTTCACTCATATCACCTTCCCCTATTCAAATTATGGCATTTTCTCTGCATGGACACTCCCTAGTATCAACGCAAGGCACTCCCTTTACTGTTTTCTGGCACTACCTCTGCTTGCTAAGACTCATTAATACCTTTGTCACACCTATGTTAACCATTTCAATGCTCTTCTCACTGGACTCTAGCTAAGCTCCATTGGCTTTCCATCACAGAACGGGTCGATTTCAAGATCCTCACGCTTGTTTTCAAATCCCTTTACTGGCACCTCCCTACCTCCGACTTGCTTACCCTCCAACCCGCAACCCGCTGCCTCTGCTCGACCGGCTCTGGCCTTCTGCATGTCCCCTGTGACATGCAGAAGGCCAGAAGCCAGTGAAATATGAAATTGCAGGAAAATTGTTTCCAGAATTGCAACTGCACAAGTCTGTAATAACAGAAATCCTGAAAATAACAGCAGTACGTTTTTTATGCACGATTTTAAATTAGTGAGATTCATCACTTTTTTAAGCAGACAATAAATAACATGTCCTTTCTTGCTACTGGCAAAATGTGGTTCAGTTGTGGTATGCTACCATACCAAATAATGGGGAAGTGAGTAATTCTAAACTTGTCAGCAAATGGGTGGAATTTCTATGATGCAGATGCACCACAGTCATTTTCAGTAGTTATAGCAACAAGTGACTTGTTTTGCTAGTCTTGCTTAATTAGTAATGAGGCTGGATGTAACGTAAGCAAAGCAACCCTTTAAACAAGTTACAAATGGAATTAATGATCATTGTACTTTCTTTTCACAGCCTAAAATGCCCAATGCGTGATTGAGGGGAATAAATGGCTTCTAGAGTGACGGATGCTATAGTTTGGTATCAAAAGAAGGTAAGTCTTCACTGTTTTACTGGTTCATTAACCTGTATTTGTGGCATTATTTGTATTTGTTGCTCAGAGAAGCTCATAGAAAAACTAGACTGCCTTTGCTGCGTCTGTTTTTTTTAAAAATATACAGTACTGCACCTCTAGTTTATAACAATGTTATAGCATTTAAAATGCAGGTTTTGTGTTCATCCAGGTCTGCAGCTGTTTAGAGTGCTCTGAGATATTCTCCGAACATGAAAAGCTCAATATAAATGTAAATTATCTAAGGTATATGGAGACAAATTTGAGCTTTTAGGAGTTAAACTCTGCGAGAGAAGAATTCATGTAGAGTAGTGAGAGCAGAGAATTAATGGTTAGTGTAAAAGGGACCCATAAAGTAACATCTGATTTTCCGCTTCTTAATTTGTAATCTTTATACCTTTCGTGTACTAGTGCACGAATGTTTCTATGCTGCAATTGAGTATTTATTAATAATGAGTAGGAAATCTTTTCTCTCTTGGCATATCCTGCTCTTTGCCAGGCAGCCAGGTATGGATGGCATTGTGACTTCAAAGAGGTGCGCAGTTTTTTTTCTGTCCATGGAACATTTTTTTTTCTCCTGAAAGCATCCAGACTCCCTTTTTCTTTTGTTGACTATAGGGACCGGTTGCTTTCTGGTACCTCATCCTAGTTGCATGGTATTTGTGTGCGAGTCTTGCCTTTAAATTTGGGCAGGCTATTCGACGATGGGCTAGACTTGTCTTTGGCCAACACTCGTTGCACTCTCTAGAGGAGAAACCCTGCTTGATAACCTAACTAATTACTGTGGTCAATTAGTAGCCCCTTTGTTGGACGTACAGCATACTTGTAGCATAAAGCTGACATATCTGTAGTTCATGAGCAGCAGTGGTTAAGGAAGCTTATGCTTAAGGTATGCTGGTTAGTGTTCATCTGCCAGTGGCTCTCAAAATGGCCATGGCCCACTATTTGTTTCATTGCACTTGCAAAAGCAATTTTTGAAGTAAGGCATCTCTGACATAGTGTTTGGACTAAGTTGGAGAGATTTTACTTGCAGAGTGAGATGTATATATATTTATTCAAAAATGTCGAGAAGGTATTGGAAAGAAGCATTCGTTCGTTGAAATAGTTGAAATACTCTTGAGGAATGAAGAGAAGCATTTGAGGAGGTAATGTTTCTGAAAATAGTTGGTATAGACAGAGTGGAGGGCACGATTGATTGAACATAGTTTCATCTGGTCTCTCAGTATCAACCACCTGCCTTTAACAACTGAAAATGATCTATTCTCTGAATGAAATGTTTTGTGCCCATAAATGTAGATAATGTGCATTATTATTATTATAAATGTGCATGATTGTTATCCAGGCCTCATCTCTCTAGAAGCTATTTGAGTGACCAGATCATAATTGTGGGTAGGTTTTTAGAGCTCTATAATTTCCCTAATCATGGGTTATGACCCTCTTTCACTTCCTCCCCCTCCCTGTTCAAATGTTTGTTGAGAATTATATTAAAGTCCAGCGCTCTATCTTTAGCGTTATAGGACTACAGAGTGAGTGTTGATTTCATTTTCACAAATGTTATTTCGGACTGCAGTTCCCTTGTTTGTCCCATCTGAATAGTTGTAACTGTTAGCTATTATCTGTTGAATCAAATTGAGTGTTGTCAGTTAAGTGGATGAGCTTCAACAGAATCAATTATAATATGATAATAATAATCCTTGCATTTGATATAGCGCTTTTTCACATCTTCTCGACGTTTGAAAGCGCTTCACAGAATAGACTGTAAAGTGAATTGATTGTATATTTGTGGGCGAAACGCGGCAGCCAATTGCGCACAGCAATGTCCCACAAACAGCCGTGGATTGAAAATGACCAATTAATTATTGTTTTGTTTTGGAGGGATTATTATTAGGCGTGTGGAGCAAGGAAACTTGCCCAAGGTTTTGCCCTGCCTGGAATTGAACCCAGGTGTCTCGCTTGCAAAGCGAGTGCTCTAACTGAGCTACAGGTTACTCCACGATTGTCCACAATTGTCTTCCATTCAGAATCTGGACATATTTCCCATGCCCTTCAGCTGAATTTGTTGCTGTAGGTGACCACTAACAATTCTTCAGAACTCTTTGGACATATTATGTTGAGTCTTTTTTAGTTCATGCTCTGGGTTCATGCCAAATGTGGAAGTGCTGAATAAACCGCAGTGTTGCCCTGAGTTTAGTGCAGGTGGGTGGGAGAAGAAAAACGGAGAGGGCAAAATCAAAAGGAAGAGGCCACACAAGGAGCCTTTTAGCACTTTGAGTAAGCAGTGTACAGAGGCATTGATGGCAGTCTCACAACAATCTGCCTTTCTCTTGGCAGCAATGAGATTTTCAAAAATAAAAAAGTAAAAAAAAAGCTTTTCAAAAATAAAAAAATAAAAAAATAAAAAAGGCATTAAAATGTTTTTAACTTTAAAAGTATTTTAAGCACCTCTATTGCATCCAAGCTCGATTAAATAAAATAGCAAAAGTATGTCTTAAAAAACGAAGCATGCAGCTCTTAAAAAGATAAAATACATAATACTGCTTGCTGAGTAATAGGTGATTGTGAAAAGAATCCTTTTATTGTTATCTAACTTGCTGCAAAATTATTATTTTAACATGGGCCAATTTTTAATTATTACTCCTAGAAACAACATACTTTATATCACTATTAAATAAGATGACTGTTAATAGATAAAAGTGAAATATTCATATGATTAACATAATGATCATTCCTGCTGTATGATCTGAAATTAAATTAGCCTATTCCTGGTTTAAATGATCACTCCTTGCAGGAGTTTGATATACTTATTCTTGAGGGTTACATTAATTGTGTCCTATTTTGGGGTCCTATCTAAATTGGCTGTTGTGCTGAGTCACAAAACCTGGATTATATTCTTAATTTGTCTTTTTGATTACTCTTGGTTATAATCAGAAATAAATCTGAAATTAATTTGTAAATTTCTGACATTACACTGTAAGCATATTCCTCATTAAAAGCTTCTGCCAGACCGAGGTTATATATTGTTCTTTCAGGAAACGTTCTCTTGGTGCCAAAAAAACTTTCCACGGCAGACTGGAACTGTTGTCTGTATATGTGGGGAGCACTTAGTATTGCAGAATGATCAGGATGTTTGCTTCGAAATTTTCCTTACCGCTGCAGATCTAAATTTGTATCTGCTAATTTTATCACTTCTTGATGTCTTTCCTCTTTGGAGATAGTACAGAGGATAATGACCTCTGCATGATCACCAACAGTTTTCTTTATTGGGAAGCTTGCATTGTATTCCTGGCTTTTCCTTCCTCAGTTGGAAGGTTGGGTCACAGTTTTTACAGAGTCCCCTCCTTTCGAGATTTGGCACGTGATTAAGCAACTGAACATTGGAGAAGTTGCTTAATCGCATGGTGCACCAAAATGGTGGTTGAAGCAGATAGTGAAGGTACATTTAAGAAGCTAGACATAAAGATGAGGGAGAAGGAAATGGAGGGGTATGGAAGAGAGTAAGGAGTTGGTGGAGACTTATGTGGAGTATAAACATTGGCATGGACTGGTTGGGCTAAATCGCCTGGTTCTGTGCTGTACGGTCTATGTAAATCTTATGTAAATCCCTACCTAATTCCTGCACATTGATATAATTAAAATAGCTGTATACAGAACCTTATACACACAAGTAGTACTTTTTTTTGTTTTTCATTCTTGCTTTAAAAAGTATATCTGTTGTGATAAATGTACCTTTTTTGTTCGTGCTTACCGCAGAACAAAAGCACATTTAAAACTTGTCATTAAAAAAAAGTCCTTGCATTTAATTTAGCACCTTTCACAATACTTTAAGCTTGTTGATTCGTTCTTGTTGCATAAAAGAAGATATTTTCAGTTGGTATGTAAGGACTGTACTTCTGTCAGAACAAACAATTATTAAATTTTATGTGGTTTCATTTTTGTATCTTGTTGTGTCATTTATTTCTTAGCTACGTGTAGAGCCATGAATGAAACAATTGGGTGTTTTGCTATTTCACTAAGTTTAAAATGTGATTTTTTTAAACATGTTAATGTTCTTGTTCTAGATTGGAGCTTATGATCAACAAATATGGGAAAAATCTGTAGAACAAAGAGAGATCAAGGTAATTTTCATTTCTAAATCTTTTTATTCTAATTCTTTTGGGGCTAATAGCCTAAGGAAATACCATAAGTGAAATACCATAAGTGATCACATAACCCAAGATAATCCTGCAAATTTGATATAAAGAGCGCCTTAGTTTTCATGGAACTTTATACAAATTAGCCAATTTTCCCATCACTGATGTCACAAATCAGCAGCAAACACCGCTCTTCTCAAACAGTTGAGAAGTTAATTAACATTTTATATATTTTATATATTATGTATTTCATATATTAGNTTTTTTACTGTGTTTGTGATCTATTTTTGGACGTTGTGATTAATAAATGGTGCTTGAATCCCTGGAGTACTAAATGGGATAATTTGATCAGCTTCATAAACCATATTCATTGTACCTCACTGCTGATCGTGGATCTATTATTGTTTAAATGTTATTTTACTTCAGTCTTTTTGTATAATAGATTTGTGGAACTGTTTTTCCTCTACACGTTTGAAAGGTTATTTTCAAAAGAAAAGTTAAATCCATTTCATTTTAACCCATTCTTTCTTCAGAGCAGATGATAAATCTCCATATAGTGCAGTTGTATTAGTAATTGCATGAATGATTCACTTAGTTGAGACGTTCTTTTATTGGAAGGTGAGGGCATTCTGACCAGTGGGCTTCTAGGGCTCAAAATTCTCCTAACTTTAGCTGGACATTTTTTGTCTTAAAATTATGCAAAGTTTCTACATCTTGCTTTAACTTGGAAGCCAGTGTTCAAGATTGTTTACAAATTAAGACTGAATTTTTTGAATTTTCCATTATCTTAACTTTTAAGACAAAATAGTCTTATTTTCTGGTAGGCTAAGACTGGTGGAATTTTGGGCCTTCATTCACTATTCATGGTTCCCCATCATCAGCTGATAGATATTCACTTTGGTGGTCCTCAGATATTGTTTCATCTGCCTGAGTAATTAGAGGAATACTGATTCATTATAGCAGATTGAGATTCAACCAAAGGTCCTCGCATTGCACAAGTACTCTACTGCTAAAGCAACAGTTCCGTGCAACCATTTTAAAATCATCTTGACAAATTCATTATTACATTGTCAGAATATTTAGTTTCTTTGTTTGAATTATGTCGTATTGCTTTTGCTCATATGTTAATTTCCAAGTAGTCACCTTATACTTCTAGTTTTGCTCTTCCTTCTTTCTGGTGCTATCGATACTGTATGCAGTTTATTAAATTGGTGAGTACCCCAGGAAGTGGTTTTATGTGCTGTGTTGTATACTGCTGTGGCCAGTTGCATTGATGCCCTCTGACCTGGTTGTTTTAACACTTCTGGTACTTATTGTATGACTTCCAAGGTAAACTGTACTAAAAGCATGGGGTATGAGCTTCACTGTAGGATTTTCTATTAAACACAAGAGCATGGACTTTGTTATGTATAGGACAAGTGGTTGTATGGTATTACGAAAATATGAATAGTTTTTGAACAATGCATCTTTTTATTTATTAACAAAAAGCTGTGTGCTGCAAAATGAATATTTTGAAGCCTACTGATGTGTGTGATCTCTCTCAAATTATCAATTTCAAAACCAGTGTAGATTTTGACAATAATGCTCTGGTGTCCTGTTTGAGGAAATTTGGGCTAAGTTTACTGCATATGCATCCTGTACTAAGCATTAGTTGATGTGAATGGAGACACTACTTCAACATCCTAATATATTGTTTTCAGCTTTGGCCCAAGACATATTAATTATTGCGACTTTTTTTGGACTCTGTTGACTTGCTGGAATATAGTTTAATGGGCACTGGCAGTCCTCTGCCTCACCAAAGTGCCAGTACTTTGCATGTGAATCTAAACAATGAATGTTGGTAGGGTATTGAACCATGAAGGACATCAAAGCTGAACTCTATCCTTTTCTAATTCAAAATCCACACACATGTATTTTTGAGAAGACTCATTTTTTTTTCTATCTCTCCCTAACCCAGTGGAGCTGAGGCAAATTTTAACACCTCAGCTGAGATCAGCTAACTCAGCACAGACCAGGAAATAAAGCTACGATTGTCTGGAGGACTCAGTGCAACATTAGATAGCGCCTTTACCGACTGAGCCAATAAGGCATATCATATGCATGTTCTCTCCAATATGTTTCACATTCCATAGATAACCTAGACTTTCTGTGGCCAACGTTTTTGGTCGGCCAACAGAATAAATGTTCTTGATTGAATATTTCTTGATTTATGTCATTAATCAAGAAATATTCAATCAAGAAAAAAATGACAATAAAACTCTGATTTAAAACAGATTTATCCTAGACTAGTGTGAATGTTTAGGGGGGCATGTCTTGTTGGCCCCATGGGCCATGGGTTGGTCACAACTGACCTAAACATTCAATTTCCTTCTCATACACTGCATTCCATGACCAGCGCATTTCCTCACTTGGTTTAAGATCTGTTGACAGCATTTAACAGCTATTCTGTATGTATATCTAATACCATTTTGATGTGTTGTATCAAGACATGAATGGTTGATATTCATTAATGTTAAATGAACATCATTCTTGGGCGATGTGTGCATCCACTAATTGAATTAAGAATGTTAATTGTGGTGTTCAATTGGAATGACGCGAACACTAGAATTGTATTGTTACCTTCCTTTGTTTCTGGGAAAAGGTAAATTTTACACTATTACAAGCAACTGGTGCTGCCAGATGTTGCTCTCCATTTATTGCAGAAATTTAGTGCGTACAATTATTTTTCTAGTCGTATTCCTATTGTTATATACCACTGCAGCTGGTGCCTAGCCTCTTCATGCTGGGCTGTGGTTCCATGGGCACTAAAACTACACTAGGATAACAAGGGTCTGTCAATCATGTTAATGGAATATAAGGCTTTGCAGCACACAAAACTAAGATAAGGTTATTATTTGAACCATAGCTTCATAGAGCCCAGTTTGTATACCTGCTGACCTTTCTATGATTTCCATGGATGTCAACAGTTGCGTGCCTAACTCAAATGGCCATTCTAAATATATTAGGGTACATTGTCAATGTTGACAGATTATTGAACTGGAAGACCTCACAACAGATCATTTGCTCAAACTACGTGTGTCTGTCTATATATTTATATACACACACTCACACATACAGACTTCTGAGAAGAGGTCACTGAATTGACACTATTGCTAAAGAATGTTTTGTATGATGGGAAAGTTGTGCAGGACTAGAGCTACTTCCTAAGGAAGTAGAGGTACAAGTGGCCACTTTCCATACTCAGGAATTAAATATATTCTTAGTCATCAGATAACTTGGTTAACAAGCTCACCACCTTAATGACTTAGAACTGTTCTCAGGCCAAATAAAACAAACCACACAGTATTAAATCAATAAGCAATGAGGTATGAGGCGTCTAAAGGTTGAGTCTAGATGTTATCCATTCTTATATCCATTCTTATAGTAGATCATTTATATTCTGAGTAGATAATCTTGGCTTTCCAATCTTTTGGACAACGGTGAACCCGCCACTCTTTTCATCAGAATACTGTCTCTTCGTGTCTAACAAAGAGAAAGAAGTGTGCAGTCTTCATCTCTTTTTAAAAGTAAAATGGTTCTCTGGATGATTTTTATTTATCCATGACCAGGAATAGGCTGGGACTATTTGTCATTCTATTACAGCCTGATTGTTTTGGGGCAGGTGGGGAAAATACTGTTATGTCAACAGTTCCACAAGAAATTACACTTTGAATCTATGTTTACATAGATAAAAAAAAAGTTGGCAGCAGCTATTTTTCTAAATTGGAATCAATCTGTTCCCCCAGAATGTCCTGATGGTCTAAACATATGTCTGTGTGGAACCTACAAACTGAAATTAATTGCTTTGAGAATGCTACCTGCCCACATAGAGGGTCTGCATTGTTTATGTGGGACCTTTGCCCTTTAGAAAATCAATCTGAATCAATCAATTCAGGGAAGAAGTTGCCAACCACAGCCAGGAAAACATATTTATTTATAGGAGGGAGTGATGCCTGCCACATGCAATGCTTCCAGATGAGAAAGGTTAAGGATTTAAAACTATAACTTACACCCATGGATTAGACTAAATTGTAGTGCATCAAAATATTAAAGATAATGAGAGAAAGAGCTGGAAAGTGTCATTTTAAAAAAAAGTGATTTCAATAAATGAATAGTAATGGCACAGACTCACGGGACCAAATGGCCCAGTTCTGTGCAGAAAATGTTTCTAAGAAAGGCTTTCCTTTGGGTAACTGAGACAGCTACCCTGTTTTTTTTTCTTCACTGAACTTCTAATCTGCCTGTAGGAGATCTTTGCACTACAAACTAGAATTTATAACTGTTTCCTGACTACAAGACTCAAGCTGTTTTCTTATCCACAGGGGCTGAGGAACAAACCAAAGAAAACTGGCCATGTAAAGGCAGACCTCATAGATGTTGACCTTGTAAGAGGTGAGTGGAACTTTTATGAATAAAGTAAGCAGCTGGACATGTGCATCGAACACAAAAATAACCATTGGCTGTAACTCCGCTTTTCCTAGAAATTGACAAGGCTGTTAAAGCTATGGATTTGGCTTTGAACAGATTAATTTCTAAACTAGGTCTTTGGCACAGGCGGCTGAACAGAGAATGTTCCATAAGCGAATATTTAGTGAGTTGGAATTTTCCAACTTTAATGGACTCAAATATAAATATTTTGATTCCCTTTTTGGAATTATTTGGCAGGGAAAAGGTGCATTAGGACATTGAATTATTTTAACATTAAAATGTTGGTGTCTCTTGATATGTTCAGAAAACTTTGGGGCATTTCAAAAGGCAAACATTTTCCATTTGATTAAAGTGGAAAATTCTAAATCCAGAATGATAACAAGTTGCAGATATTATTTTAGAGTTTCTTTTAATAGGTGGTAAAATATATTTATTGTACTGTGCCATAGGGTGGTTGTGAATTTGATGTGGATCTGTACTACTTTTCCCCCTCGTAGTGAGTTTAGAATTGCCGCCTTGTTGTCACAGGGTTAGATCAATGCACCGTTGCTACAGACAGAAACTGGGAGCCGCACTGGCTGCTAATGCTTAGTTATACAAGGTGTCAACAGGGATACCCATCCGCTCTCCAATTTCAACGATCTACATTGTATGTTAAATGAAACACCTTTTGAGTTCATCAAACTTTACATAGTTGTTGCGTGATGACACAGGCTGAATCATACTTGAAAAAATATTATTATAAAAAATATGCATCAACAATTTACATCATTCTGTAAATTTTGGAGTTGACGGGCTGAGGTTATTTCTCGATGACACTTTGAGTCGGGCAGGTTCTCTGGTTATTGGGGAATAATAATAATCCTTGCATTTGATATTCACATCTTCTAGACGTCTCAAAGCGCTTCACAGAATATACTGTAAAGTGAATAGACTGTATATTTGCAGGCAAAACAAGAGACCATGGAAGTGCAGAGTTTGAGCAATATTGTAGAAAAGAGGTTCCCAAGCTCTAGGTGCGGCTTGTGCTAAACTTGCTCAAGCTGTTGAGGGCTTCTGGCACACGCATGGAAAAAATCTTTACACTAAACTGTTACCTTCTGACCGGTTCAAAAACAACCATTCTCTTTTGAAACTATAGGGTCTGCTTTTGCAAAAGCAAAACCTGAAAGTCCATGGACCTCATTAACCAGAAAAGGAATTGTGAGAGTTGTGTGTTTCCCATTCTTCTTCAAATGGTGGATGCAAGTGACCTCAAGGTGCATCTTTTCGTGGCTACTCATTTTATACCTCCTTCAAGGTGAGTTGTCTTTTGCCTTCTGAACAGTCAACTGGTAACATTTAGCGATGAAACTACCAGCATTGCTCCCAGAAGAGATGTAACCTATAAGGTGTTGGGTTCAATCCCTAAGTCAGTGCTTCAGCTCGTAGTCTAGGTGAATTTGTTTGACAAGTTAATGTGCCTTAAAATGCAACTTCTTTCTTTATATTGCTTCAGGTTAACATAGAAATGGAATCTGTTTTCTTGTGCTAAAATGCTTTAGATAAATAAAATGACTGTATATTGCTCTACATGAATGATTTTCTAATCAATATTGATAAATGTTGTTGCAAAGAGTCTTTTGAATTTTTTAAAATCAATAACTATGCAGCCTACTAATTGACTATTCTGTTGTTTAGTTACAGCAATAGTGTTGTTTTGCACAGTTGAAGTTGAACATAATGTGCCCTCCACTGAAGTATTTGGACCTATCTGGCTGATGTTGCTGCTTGGGACAGTTCATTGCCAGATTGTATCAACTCGCACTCCCAAGCCCATGACAAACGGGGGCAAACGAAGAAGGTATCTTGTTAGTTTTGAGAATATTTCTGCATGTTCCTGATATTAAAATTGAATCTGATGTATACTTGACAATGGTACGTACCTTAACCTTTATTGCATACAAGTAGGTTTGCTTAGATTCACTAGAAATCGATAAACTTAGACTACTGGAATCTTAACCAGCTAAAAAAGCATAGTTTGCCATTGAGAGCACTATCTGACAAGCGTTCAGCGGCATGTTCAGCTATGCCAACCCGAAGCTTGAGAGTTTGGCTTGCAGGGCGGCAGTAGCTGAATGGGGAGAATCCAAACTCCCAAGGGTGTTCTGCCCCAGCAAGCCCTGCGGTGAACCACTCTGGCTGGTCAATCATCAGCAGTGCCCTGGAGTACAGTGGACCCTCATGCAGATGACCAAGACTTCCACAGAGGATAACTTTGATTCTGACATTCCATTTCCAAGCACTTTCCCTTAGAGCTAGCTCAGCTCCAAGGAGACAACAACAACAACAACAACAACAAGATTTCATTTATAGAGCGCCTTTCACGTCGGGAGGACGACCCAAGGCGCTGGACAGTTGGGTCAGGACCCGAGCAGGGGGGAAATGGTCAGGGTGAGGGGAGGGAAGGGAGGGAACGAGGAGGGGGAAATGGTCAGGGTGAGGGGAGGGAAGGGAGGGAGCGAGGAGGGGGGAAATGGTCAGGGTGAGGAGAGGGAAGGGAGGGAACGAGGAGGGGGTAGAGAGTCGAGAGGGGAGCTGAAGGCACGGTCAAAGAGAAAGGTCTTGAGAACCGGCCTTGCAGGAGGAAAGGGAGGAGGCAAGGCGAAGGCACTGGGGGATAGAGTTCCAGAGCCTCGGGGCTGAGAGGCTGAAGGCTCGGCCACCGATGGTAGGGCGGTTAGGGCGGGGGATGTGGAGCAGACCGGAGCCAGAGGAACGGAGGGTACGGGCAGGAAGGTAGGGGGATAGTAGGTCGGAGAGGTAGGAGGGAGCAAGGCCGTGAATGGCCGAGACCCTGCTTCCTGCCATCCTCTTCCCCCCTCTCTTTCCCCCCCACCCCACCACACACACGGACTAATAGAGTCTTTTGATTGTTAGCCTAAGCTTTGGATAGTGCAGCAGTTAATTGTGATACTCTTGGAAAAAAAAAACTTCTAATCTTTCTTATAAAGGAAATTACGGAAAGCAGCACATCTGGAAGTGCATAGAGAAGCCGATGGCTCCAGTACCACAGATAATACACAGGAAGGAGTACAACCTTATTCAAGCACAAGCACCTGTTACAGTGTTGGCACATTCTTCAGAGATATCTGGCGTGCTTTCTATTTTCCAGGGTGTGTATTCTATTAAGCTTGTGATTCTATTTATGAGGATGTCTTGCTAACTCCACTGACCCTCTGAGACTCTTAAGTATCAATTTATTTTTCCATTAGCAAGTTTTACCCTTGTTTTTATGTTGTAATTATACAGTGCAGCTCTATTATAACATGCTTCACTATAGCTTGAAATCTCTTAACCGGGTTTCACTGTTATGGAGTCCTGTAATGTATTGGTTAGAGCACTTGCCTGGCAAGTGGAACCCGGGTTGGAATCCGGTTGTTAATCAATTTGTAGATCGCTTCTGGGGGAAATAATCCCATTTAAAATAACAAAATTGGTTGCTCAATCCACGACTGTTTGTGGGACACTGCTTTGTGCAATTGGCCCAGAAAACACACAGTCAATTCACTTTACAGTATATTCTGTGAAGCGCTTTAAAACGTCTCAATAATGTGATAAGACACTATTATCAAATGCAAATATTATTCCTATGGAACCTGTTCACTGTGCATGTAAGTAGTTGGCCCACTCGCCTTCTGCGCACTGGCTTACTTTTCATACCAAAATGGCCAACTTTCAGTTCATTGGATCACCAATAATGGGACTTCCTGTTTTGTGATTACATAATATGGAAACCAGCCATTTCTCTTTTTGCACCCAGAGCAGCTGGCTAGGTGCACGCTCAGTAAAACTCACTATTGTGACGCGCTATAAAGTGGGTTGGGAATTTATGGATCCCAAACACCACATTATATGAGGCTGCACTGTGGGTATCTAAAGATTTTGATTACCTTAATTTGGGGTTATTCTTCATTGTTGATTAATAGATTTATTTCTGGGTACTCATTTGTAATAAGTACAAGATTCGAAATGAGGACAAGAAGTATTTTTAAATGGTTTTTAAACATTTAAAAAAAAGTGGACCAAATTTTGAAAGTGCACTCTGCTAATAGTGTAAAGCAACATTCACAAAGGTAAAGAGAATGTAGGTATCAAAATCAATTGGTAGAATATATTGCAACGGTAAAGAAAATAGTATGGAAGTAAATTTATAGAAATCGGTAGAAGGAAGTAATACTGATCAAGTGGAATTTGTGTTTACTTTACCGAGAGGAACATGTGGATTAGGAAGTGAAACTAAGAAGCTAAATCTTTGATGGGAGAGAGAAGCAATATTAAAGCTAGTGGCTGGGGTAGCGTAAACCATGTTTTTAATACAATAAAGAGAATTAACTGCACAGGACAGGATTATATCCCTGAAAAATTAAATCAATGTTTCGGGAGTTTAGAAAGGAATTGGTTAAACAGTAAATTGATAGGTTGGGGGGGGGGGGAGAATAATTTTTTCAGACCAAATTGTTCTCTTATAAAATAGACTGCCACCTAGTGCAGTAAATGTGTATTTAGTTTCAAAACGTAACTATGATTTTAAGCAATGTCAGAAAGCTGTAGGGGTAGGGTAATTTAACAAAATGTACATACCCATTTTCAAAGTCGGCTTGAATAGCCTTTCTGGCCCCTTTATGCATTCTAAAACCAAATAAATATCCTTTCTTCGCTGAAGATTATTACTAACTAGACTTTTAAACACTAAAAAGTGCAGTCTGTTAACTATCTATTTTGATTGCTTTCATTTACCAGCTCAAGGAAAACCAAAAGATCAATTGACAAATCAACTGAGACAGATAATGGTTATGTTTCCCTGGATGGAAGAGTCACTTGCAAAATCAATGAAGATCGGAAACTGCTCTATGATGCTAACTGTGAAATATTAGGGCCCGACGAGGTGAACTGGATCCCAGGAATGGGAAAGACAGGACCTACTCCTGTGAAACTTAAAGTAGGTATAACCAGAAATAATCAGGACTTTTTGGGTTGTTAGCAATTGCCCATCTTAAATTATTCATCAGAGACAGAAGAGTGACATTAACTTATTGAGGTATCGCCACATACTGATAGGAAGTGGCTCCATGGAGGTTCACATCTGTGATTTCTTTAGATATTCTTATTCGGGGAAAGTGCAGGAGGCCAAAATTCCACATTTGGCCTTGTATCAGTATCACTTCCTTCCTTGGTCTTAAAATCCTGTGGATGTACTGTGCACTGTTCCATTTAGCTTTGCAATATATTTGGTGAATTGACTTCTACATTTTGTTTACCTTCCCACTATGCCATTGGGGAGGTGTTCACCACAGTGAGAGACAATATCAGAGATGCTATAAGATGCTCTCCCATATATAAGGAATTGGCCTAATTTAAGTTTTGTATTGAACTTGGTCTTTTTGGCATATCTTCTTGCACATGTACCAGGAAATTTAGGGAGGTTTAAGTACAGGAAACTTGGTTTTATTCTCATCGTGTTTTTATTGCTGTTGTCTGTTTGTGATTTTTTCTGCTATTGCTTTGTGTGTCAGAACTTTTTCTCTCCCTCATTTTGTAGAATTATAGAAATTACAGCACAGGAGGAAGCTATTCGGCCCATCAAGCCTAAACTGGTGCTAGCTCATTCACTGACTCTTATCTACTCTCATCCCAATCCTCTGCTCTTTCTATGTATCCTTTTTATGTCTTTCAAATGTTTCTCCAATTTTCCTTTAAATGTTAGTCGTTGCCTTGGTAACTTGTTACTTGTGTCAAAACATTCCATATCCTGATAAATCTCTGCATGAAAGCTTTTTTTCAAACCTCCTTAACTTTTGAATATATTCATTTATGTCCCCATTTTAATTTCTGTTTTTTTCTGCCTATTGTACCTATTGTAGTGTACTGAATTCAATTGGTTCACAATGATATTAACTTTATTATTGTCTATAGACCTGGTTGATATAGCTGTTATATTACATGGAATATATTTAAATGGTATTTCTACTGATAGAAGAATCTTACGGCTAGAGAAGACAGTTAGTTATAAGGTAGTCACAAATAAGAGTGAAAGGAGAATTTAGGAGAATCACTGTTATTGGATTGTGGAATGGCCTGCTTTACTAAGTAAGGTAGTAGATGCAGAGTCCATTGAGAGTTTCAAGAGCGGAGGCAAGTATATGAAAGATAAAGGCTTGAAGGGGAATGGGGATACGGCAGGGCAGTGGGATTAAATGAACACCTTGCTCTGAGAGCTAATGCAGACTTGTTGGCTGAATAGCCTTATTCTGCACTGTACATTTCTATGATTCTATGAAATGGATAGCTGCTTCTTCTCCCACCTTCTGTGTGTTGATTAACAACCTCTTTGTAGGAACTTTGTAGGAGATTGCTTTGGTTTTCTAGTTTAATATTTGTACAGATGAAATTTCAGTTCTCCAGTAATAAACGGTTGGAGTAATTCATATTACTTCTGAAGATTTCACCAATTTTCAATTCTGAAAAATTTACTTTCTTCCACGTCATTTTTTTTGGATTTTACCAAAGCTATAAGAAGCTTCACAGCTTAGCTGAACAATTTTCTTCTACAATAACAGTTGTGGTACTTTTATTAATTTTGCTGGTGTATTGCATCAAGCAGGAAGGCCTTCGACCTGACAACAATGTATCTGACGAGGTTTCCAGTGATGAGGATGGTGAGGGTGAGTCGCAAGCTTTCAGGCAGCGTCGCAATGGAGAACGAACTTCAAATGACTCCGGGCTGCGAAATAGAAAACCACAGCAGTACAAGAGGCACTACAGTGTTGAGGTTATATTTTACTGCTTTCTTCAGTTAACTGTGACTTGTTTAATGTGCATAGAATTACATACATTGAATTATTTGGATTGTAGTGTCAGCCTGATTCAGTTGGTAGCATTCTGGTAATATCTTAATAAGTCTACTGAGCTGAACTCTTTCGAATGTTATAATATCCTTCCTGTAGTATAGTAATCAGAACTGTACACCGGATTCCAAATATGGCCTAACTATAAATATATAAATGACATGAATTCAACATTACATCCCTACTTTTATACTCCATTCCTCTAGGCATAAAGCCAGGGACTGACTCTATTTGCANTTTTTAATGGGCTAATTCACCTGTGCTGCTATTTTTGAAGTCGATTTGCATTTGATCTCTTATTGTAGGATCCCAGCACAATACATAATTTCAGCTTGATGTATTATATTTGGGGGGGAAGGTGCCCAGCTCAGATTGCAATTCTATTTTTTCTTCTGTAGCAGGATTATTTGAAGACTAGCTATTCAGACTGTTACATATAGCTTTGTGCTTCTTATCTGATTTTCTAGTGCTATTAACTTCGTTAGAAGAGATTTGCTCCCCAAGTCAAAGGCAAAGCATTTATGCTAAGTACTGTGTTAATATAGTGCCACAAAATGCATTACATTTCAAGTAATCTATTCATTTCAAACTTTAATTTGCAAGTGGAGTATCTCTGAATTTCTGTATTCCTGGTCACTGCATTATAACTAGTATAGATCATGGCAGGTAAATTTAACCTGCAGAGTATAGGAACAATAATATCTCTCAAGATGGTCTATTGAAGTTTGAGCACAAGTTTTAACTTTCTCTCATGTAAAATCAGGTACTTTTGTAGGGTCCAGTGTTCCTTAAAATGAAAATACATGAATATTGATCTATCTGTTCTTTACTCCTATGAATAAATAAATAAATATTGATATTGTGCCTCATCACATCGTTCAAAGTCTCAAAGTGCTTCACAGGATTTATTGTGAAGTGTAGTGACTGTATTTTATAGGTGAATGCAGCAGCCGCTGTGCACAGTAATAAATATAATAATCCCTGCATTTGATAAAGTGCTTTTCACATCTTCCAGATGTCTCAAAGCTTTTCACAGAATACACTGTAAAGTGAATTGACTGTATATTTGTGGGCGAAATATCCCACAAACTCCCTTCTCTTTTCGAATAGTGCCACATGCACCACTTGAATAGATCGACAGCATCTTGATATAATCTTATCTGAAGGATGGCACCACTGACAGTGCAATGCTCCCCGAGCACTGCAGTGGAATGCCAGCCTACACTATGAGCTCAAGTACTATCAGAGGCTTGAATCCACAATCTTCTGACTCAGAGGCAAGAGTACTGAACCAGGATGACACCTGGCTGTCTGATTATTCTGCTAATTTATGATTCAATGATTCAATTTATGATAGTTAACTGTTAATGGTCCTTTTAGATAATACTAAAGCTTTGGCTCTGTTGCATTATAATAAATACTCCTTGCATTTGATAACTCCTTTCACGTCAGGAAGATATCTCAAATAGCTTCATAGTATTTTACTATAACATGTAGAGACTGTTTTTGCAGGCTGTTCTGTAACAATAGAATATCAGACACCTCACAGCAGCATTTAATCATTTACTTGGTTTGTTAAACTACCGTTGCTGGTTAATTTTATCTGGCTCTCCTTAAGAGTTTTGGTATCTAGCCATTAATTATTTAGCTGGTCTGCTTTGATTTGGCCTCTGGGTTCTATTACAGCTTTATATTTATATAACTCCTTGGCAATCGGAATACTAAATTTTAATTGCATATCCTGGGGATTTTGACATTAAAATCTATTTACTGACTCATTTCTAGTCTGCCTAGGGACTGTTTTTTTTAGAAATTTAAATATTGCTGTTTACCCATCCTATTGTAAGTTGTTTAGAGACAGAGCTTGATAGACATTTGTGTTATTCAATTGCTAAGCTGCAATCCCATTACTAGCTTCTCTATCCTTTGTAGCAACAGGTTTGGCAACTGTTTTTTTATTAATACAATATGTGGTTAATGCAGTATGTGGTTTCTTTGGCACAAATAACTGAAAAATCATTCAAGGTGGGCAATGTGTGCGGGTGAAATGTAAAGCCTTAAAATAGGGTTTACCCTATTTACCCTCCCGACGTGAAAAGCGCTATATCAAATGCAAGGATTATTATTATTATTATAATTACAACACAGTGGAATTCTGCATTGAACATTTTTAACACAAATAATAAGTTATGAAGATTTGTACAGTATGCAGTCGTGCACAGAAGTGCCAGCCTAGGCTGTGAGCTCAAAGTCCCAGCGTGAGGCTTGAATCCACAGACTGAGGCAATATGCTGCCAAGTGAACCAGTCTATATCATGCTGCTGCATTCATATACAGTAACTGCACTGAACAATAAAATCCTGTGATGCTTTAAGATATTTCAACGATGTAAAAAGGAGCTATACCAAATGCAAGTATTAATACATTATTAAATATTCATGGCAAGTCTTTACAAACGGATATCCCTATGATATTGTCTTATTTATGAGTAACTTTTACAAAACGCGCTTGGTAAAACTTGTAGGAAAATTTCCGATTGTGCGCTAGTGAATTTGCCCAGAGAATTGCTGAGTTAGCGAACAATTTTCAAGCCATGTAAGGACCTTTATTGCAGTTGCTCCACTCACTACAGACCACTTTTTTATATGGTATTTTAAATGAATCCACCTGTTCTAAATCATTCATTTGTTTCCTGCAGCTCTCCACGTTCCTTCTAACTTTATAAACTTTGTTGACTTCAATCATAATTGCCCACACCTTTCCACAACCCTTTGTAGGAAATACAGTTTAGCTACCAAGAAAAATTATTTAAATTTTGATGCATTGCTTTACTGAATCAATTCTGTCTAACTGGTGCAGTTTCCGTCTAAGTTGACATTGTATTGCCTTTATTGACATTTTATAGGTTTTTAATGAGGAAGTTAATGCTGGAGTTCTTTTGGACATCCTGCTACACTTTCAACTATGTTCAAGAGTTGATTCTTACACAAGTTTGTTGCTCATAGAGTAACCCAGCATTTTTATTTGAAAATCCAGGCTTTTTTATGATGCGATCGGACCATATGTGTGTTACGTGCCTACATGACTCAGTGCCAATGTTAGGGTTAGGTAGCAATAAGGGCTCGCTTAACATGCTGGTTCTAGTTATCTATATATTTATTATATATATAGAGTTACAGTATATTTTGTGAAGCTCTTTGAGATGTTTCAACAACATGATAAGACAAAGTGTCAAACGCAAGAATTATTATTATTATCTGACAAGTGAGTTTTACAATTCTAAGAACCAGGTTTTATATGCATTGTTTTCAGGAGGCAGCTAAATCTGCGACTAGTTGTAGCTCTCGAAGCTCTCGACAGGATTCTGAGAGCACACGTCATGAATCGGAAACAGAGGACGTGTTATGGGAGGACCTCCTACTCTGTGCTGAATGTCGTTCTTCCTGCACCAGTGAGTCTGAGGGAGAGAATATCCACGTGAACTCCATCGGAAAAAAAGAATACAGAGATGATCCTTTTCATCCGGTTTGTTTCAGAAATTTTTTTCTTCTAAAATTTTATATCAAAATGTGATTTATGTATTGAATAAAAGCATATATTATGTTGCATATTTTCTTTGTAAAAGGTTGATCAACTAAGTGATCATCAGTACATTCTTTACATTACTAAAAGCAATGTTGAAAGTATATTCAAAGTTTGGTTTGGACTGTTTGGAGCTAGCAATTGAGTTAAACTTTAGTTGACTGATGTGGGCAACCTGTTCGATTTTCCTTGGGGGAAGGGAGGGGAAAAGCCTTTGTGGTTCTCTGACATCTGGATTTTGAATTACAGTAAACCTCACATAAGTTGTATCAGTTGGAGCCATACGTTTAACATGACTTATGCAAGGTATAAGTTATGTCAAACTTGCATAGAATATAAACTTTTGAACAGGATTTAGGCAGATGTATGACTCAAGCAATTGTATGATTTATACAGATCAGATGAGTTTTACTGTATTAGAAGGCTATCTCCAGTGGGTTTTTTTTTAAATTGACTTAATGATGATCAGAAAATACCAAATGTGATATTAAACTTTATTTTGATCGTATTGACACCAACGCGGATTTAATTCCTCGTAAATCATTGGTGCTAGTGGGCCAAAAATACAACTTATGATAATTATCAGAATGAGAGTTTGAATGTGGTTTAGAAAGAGCGCCATTTTGTCTCTTTTGAAATCTACATAGTAAATCACATATGGGCCAGACACAGATCTAGACTTTGTTTTTAGTGCAAATCTGTGTGAAATTAAACCATTTGGGTGTGGACTAGATTTATCCGAGAAGAAGCAGGAAAGAAAGGCTGAATTGCCAGCAGAGGAGACTCAAATCAAGGGTTTAACAAAACGCCTAGTATCAGCCTCCAAATGAATTTTCTCTGAGTATATCTGAGGAACACAGAAGAATTTGCTTGTGATTCAGCCATCCTAAACAGTTGGGCTTTATATTTGGAGAGGACTTCAGTGACTCTAATCGCACAGCGAATGGCTGTCAAGATCATATGCTAATGACCTTGGCATTTGTTGTTGGATGATTTGCTAGCATTAGCCAGACCACTATATAGACCTGCTTGAAGGAGATGACTGATGCACTGCTCCAGGAAACTGGCAGGTTCATCCATTTCTCCCGAGTACAGAGCAACAATTGACTAGATAGCAAAATTGTACACCATTATTGAATTTGCCTGACTGCTTGATGCAGTGGACCATAATCGTGTGGCGATTACGTGTGGGCACAGTTAGTCAATCAGATAATGTGAGTTAACTCTAAGGAGATTCTGCTCATTTAATATTCAGGTGTTCTACATTGTTAAGCAAATAGTCCACTAGATAGCTGCCCAATTCTCTGGGTCAATGGACAATTCCATCTTGAATTACATCTCTGTTCCATGAGTTATTTGAGTAGGGTAATTTAACAGTCTGAGTTAGGGGGTAGTGAGGGAGGGAAGTCATGAATATCTGTTGAACCTGTGCCACATAGAACTACATAGCATCTATTGTACAGCATTGAAACAGATTATTCGATCTAACTAGACCTTGCCAGTATTTATACTCTCCATTTAGTGCTCCAGCCCTCCTTAATCCCTCCTCCTATACTCCTGCGTTCCCTTTTTACTCAAGTATGCATCGCGTTTCTCAACACCCTCCATAAAGAAACCGCCTTTTCTTTTTGAATAGTGCTATGGGATCTTTATTGTCCATATGAACAAGCTTAGTTTTATTATTATTAATTATTACTATTATTATTAGTTTCAAGTAGTTAGTAGCTAGTTTGCAGGGCCATCGAACATAAGTTAGAACACAAGGAATATTGAACATGAATCAGAACTTTGAAGGGGGAAAAGTATATATTTTTGTTAACATCTACTTCTATCTCCTTTCAGACCCATTTCCCGTGGCTTCACAGTTCCAGTACAAGTCTGGAAAGAGTAAGCGCAATTGTCTGGGAATGCAATGAGTGTAAGAAAGCTGATATGTCTGTGCTGGAAATCAGTGGCATGATCATGAACAGAGTAAGTCACTAAACAAAAACAAATCACACCAAAGTTGCCCTTTCTGTTGTACTCATGTGCCCCTCTTTCGTTTGTGTACACATTTTCTCTTTTCACTTTTCTTTCGTGTGTACAGTACCTCTTTCAGATAATATTGTGTTGGCTTTCTATAATGACTAATGTATATAAAAAGATAATTGGGGGAAATACTTAGTGTGATGAAGTTTCCCATAATAATAATCATAATCCTTGCATTTGATATAGCACCTTATCACGTCTTTGAAACTTCTCAAAGTGCTTCACAGAATATACTGTAAAGTGAATTGATTGTATATTTTGTGGGAGAAAAGTGGACAATAGTCACCACATTGCCAAATGCATGAAATATACTGCCATGAGACCTTCTGTTTGTTTTCCAGTTTTAATTTAAGCCAGGCAACTATTTTTAACATCGCACAGAAATTACTCTCCAAAGTAATGCGTGTAATTTTAACGTGAGCAAGACCGAGAGTAAAATTCCACTTGCGGTCTATTTAAAATCTGGCTCCATCACAAAGGAATTATCTGTCCTGAATTTTAATAATTACAATCACTGGGTAAAGAACAAGGGGCCATCAATTGAAGATTATCATTAGAAGAAAAAGAGGGGAGTTAAGAAGGAATGTTTTCACAGTGAGGGTTACTAGAAAAAACACAAATGACTGTTGAAGCTGAGTCCATAATAGCATTTAAAAAGGAATTGGATGAATCCTTGAGCAAAAATAATATGTATATATGAAGAAAAAGTAGGGAATTAGATTAGATGGCTCCAGCACCATCATAGATGTAATGGCCAAACTATGTCCAAACTAATTCAGATTTTTTTTGTTACATTGTTTTCTCAATTTTAAATGTTTTCCTTAAACATTTGCAGGTCAACAACTACAAACAAGGGATTGGCTACCAGTTGTTTGGGAACTTGGTGTCTGTGATTCTAGGCATGACACCCATTTTGTTTAGACTCTTTCAACAAATGGATATCGAGCAACTTGCTTCACAGTCAGCAGCAGAACTCTTCATTGTTGCAATTGGTTCAAATATTAATACAGTGGTCATTATTATGGTCTCAATAGGCTTTGTAGTACGTGTGTCCCTCATCTGGATGTTCTTCTTTTTGCTGTGTGTAGCTGAGCGAACATACAGACAGGTATGTAGAGACTATTTTGACCATTGTCATTTATTTTAACCTCTTCCGGCCTCACCTTTTTCCAAATCTAGTTGGAACATTTTCACCGACTTTAATTTCTAATCTCACTTCAATATACAGTTGATTTATTGTGCACTCCTGACTTGGCGTATGATTTGGTATGGTTGTTAGTTTGGCGAATAAGAGGGGGTTATTTTGACACGGTTGAGGTGGGGAGGAAACGTGAGTGCTGGGTAAGAGAGCCTAGATTGTGTCATAAAAGCAGAAAGAAGTTACAAGGCTACTTATTGTGCTGGGGGGGAATAATAGGGAAATATTTAGTATGTAGTGTAATGCTGTTGATGTTTACCATATTTTTAATTATGTACTGTTTAATGATTAAAGCAGCTCTAAAATTGTCAGATTAAATTATGGATCTTTCTATTGCTCTGACAACGATATACCTTTTCAACCGCAGGCTTTAGCAGTCCATTTTATTGTTCTACACAATAATTAGTTCAAATTTGTCCTCGAATTAATGATACTTACAGGTGGATTGCTAATACAGTGCAAGAATTCTTATTACATTTCAATTAAACAAGGGTACTACAAGCAAATTACAGAACATATTAGCGATTCATTAATTTGGGCAAATTGCTTAAACATAAAGCTTGCACCATCTCTTAAACTCCAGTGTTAATGTATTTGCTCATGCAGGGATGAGGGAAATGGTGAACAGTGTGATTAAGTTGGCTCCATTTCATATGTTTCCAGGATATGAAATGATGCGTTTCAGGATGTGAAGTATTGTGGAGACTTAAATTGCTAATTTTTAACTCCAGTAGAATTTATTTACCATTAGGGTGATGTAAACATCTCAGACTTGAGAAATCTTGCACGTTTCTGTACTGTTTTGGCGTGCTGCTGTTTGTATATAGTTATTGGAAGAATTTTAGATTCTTACTCTAGTTACAGTTGTTCGACTTCACATTCAAGCTGCTACCTGGTCTATCCCCCTGGCTGCAATTGCCTGAGTTTCTTATTTTTCTGTGCATCATTAGCAAAGCTAGCAACTGCTGCATGGTTGGGCACTGCACCTCGCGGAGCTGGTACAGAACCTTGTTCACTCGTTTGACTCCCAACTGTCCTTCAAATCCCACATCCATGCCCTTACCCATTCAGCTTTCTGCCACTTCCGTAACATTGCTCACTTCTGCCGCTAGCTCTCCTCAGGCTGTCACAACCCTCATGCACACTTTGATCATATCCAGGCTTGACTACTGCTAACTTCCTGCTCACTGGACTCCTCAGCTTTTCCCTAAGCAGACTGCAGACTATCCAGATCTCTGAAGCCCAAGTCCTCTTTACCAGACTCCGTGAACCTATTACCCCATCCTTGCTCTGCTCCATTGGCTCCCCATCCTCAGCGGATGGAATTCAAGATCCTTCGATCCTTGTTCTCACTTTCTTCATCTCCGCTTTCTTGCTTCACCCTACCACCACAACCCCTTCCACCCTACCAACCTGGCTGTTGTCTTCACTCAGTGAGCACAGCTCCTTCATGTCCCCTGCCCTCTCCGCCCCACCATCAGTGGATGGGCTTTCGTCCATTCTCTCTCTGCTGTCTGAAACCATTGCTTTCTCCAGTCCTAAAAAAAAATCTTAAGAGTGCCTTAGAATAAGAACTGGAAATCTGAAATAAAATTCAACAATCTTGCAGATGCACAGTAGGTCAATTAGCATCTGCTTGAGATAGATGGGGTAGTGTTTTGGTGAGACCCAGTATCAGAAGTGCTAAAGACTTTTTCATAGTTGTGGAAGGATGTTACACTAGGTGAGGGGGGTTGTTCAAATATAAGATATCTAACTGGAATAACATAAACCCGTCTGACCTGCAAGAACTCTGTTCTGGCACGTGATGCAGTCTATTTCCCAACAACAATGTCGCAGGAATTCGATTATTTAAAAATTCTGCGATTTAGAACTTTTTCTAAAAAAGTTCTGGCACCTCCTGCAGCATTGTGTGCCAACACTCAACTAACCTCTCTCCCCACCCCACCCCCACTTTGCAATTTGACTTATTTTAAGGAGCAATTGAATGATTCATTCTACTGTTCCGCAAAACCACATTTTGCTTTAAATGTCATGTACAGTTCTCTGCAATGATGTAATACCAGACATTCTACTCTTCCTTAATATTGTTTTTGGTTTTAACAAATGTTTTGAGGAACAATCAAACAAACTGCTTTCTTCTTTGTGTCTCACAGAGATTGCTCTTTGCCAAACTTTTTGGCCATTTAACTTCAGCAAGACGAGCTAGAAAATCGGAGGTTCCTCACTTCCGTCTAAAGAAGGTGCAAAATATAAAAATATGGCTCTCCCTGCGTTCCTATCTAAAGGTAAGTTCAATTGATATTCATTTTGTGCAGGCACCTTTGGTGTATTTTTTCTTTAACGGAAGGTGAACTATATTGGAGTGGGGTTAATTTATGCAGTGTTTTATTCTCTCGTCAACTGAGGATGATTCTGTTCAGATCTGTGGTATTAGAATTTGGAGAAATGTCTCGAAATGTTTTTAAATGCATTTCTTAATTGTGTAACTGTGTAACTCGAGATAGAAACTGAGCCACTCCAAAGTTTCAAATTCCCAAGAAAACCAAACTTTCTGAAACCTTCCCTGCCTCCCATTGTGCATAACTCTCATTAACAGACATTCTTATACGGAAATTACGAACATCTGTTCAAATAATAATAATAATCCTTGCATTTGATATAGTGCCTTATCAAATCTTCTAGACATCTAAAAGCGCTTCACAGAATATACTTTAAAGTGAATTGACTGTATGTTTTGTGGGCAAAACAAAATGTGCACGAAAACGAAACTGCTGTGTACTCCGGTACAAAATTTCCTTAAATGTGCGGTTGTGATCACTAAAGGTAACATAGATCACATTATATAAACAGAATTGAATGTGGATTAACATTCAACCAGTATCTTGCAGTCTATTGTAGTAAAAGCAAGGATGGCCGTTTGTTATCCACTGATTCCTATTGCAAAGTATTCAACAAACATCAACAAATTACATTTGTATGATGCCTTTCATGTCAGGAGGATGTCCCAAAGCGCTGTTCATTTGGGTAATGACATCTGATAAGGATAATATAACAATCTACAAATAGGACCATCGGTCCCTTGAGTCTGTATTACTATTTTTATCAGATCATGGCATCTTTTAGATACGATTTTAGTCAGGCTGATCCGGCATATTCCCTGTGGTTAAGCAATCTTCCTAGCTATTGCTCCCATAAGAAGCACTTGGATAACGTGAGGGTTGTGAGTATATCCCAGGACAGGTTATTGCCTTGAACAGATGATGAAGGAAGAAAAGAGCCATGTTATAGGCATAAATATGAATTAATAGAATTATGCATACGTGTTATTTCTGGATGACTGACAGTTTTCATCAGCAGGGCTTCCATGTACCCACGTTATCCAAATATGGAAGCGTTTGCGATTTGTACATTGGATCAATGACCATTTGAAGAGGTTGTTGTATTGCCATTGAGCTGTGGGAGGGGAGGAGAGAAGATCGGCATTTTGTCCTAGTAAATCCTTACGGGATATTGCTAACCGAATGTGAAGAGGAAGGTTATACTACAATTATGGACACAGCAGAATACATACCACATACTGTGCATTAGTGAATAGACTGCAGTAAGCCCCCAGCTTACTGGAACAAGGGTATCTGGAATTCGAATGTAGCCTGAAACCTAGAAATTGGAAACAAAAATTCCGCCCGCCAAAAATTTCCACAGGCTCATCTGGCTTCCAACTCTCCTAGCGCAGGTCAACACCACACTCAATATCATTGCTAGCCTTCACAGTGCCCGGGTTATTGACTTTGACTCAGATGCGGAGTCCTATAGTTTAGTGGTTAGAGCACTCACCTCGCAAGCGGGAAGACCTGGGTTTGATTCCTGGGCAAGGCGAAACTTTGGCGTTTCCTTACTCCACATGCCTCTGCTTACCTAGCAGTGGAGTAAGGTAAAGTCAGTTGGCGTTAGTCGATTGGTGGATCGCTTTTCTGGGATAATAATCCCTTCAGAATAACTAACTAATAAAATAATAATAATTTGTTGACTCAATCTGCAGCTGTTTGTGGGACAATGCTGTGAGCAATTGGCTGCCGTGTTTGACCCACAAAATGTATAGTATTCTAAGCAAACTTCCCATAATAGATAGTGTAGACTGGTTATGTAATTGTATTGTCATTGTGTCTGCACTGAAGCTACTGGAAACAGAATGTGTTTTATTAGAACAGACAGTGGCAACCGTTCTAATGTCCTGGCCGGATTCCAGGGCTTTGGCAAAGTGCCTTTGTACATGCACACAGCACTATAAATAAAACCGCACAGTCTCGCTTCATGAGCATAGAATTAAATATACGCAATGCATAATTTTGCATTGAAGAATTCACAATGCTGAAAGTGCGACATAAAACAGATGAAGGTAAAAAAAAATTGAGCTGATTCTTATTTTGAGTAATGACACAAAACTTTTTGAAAAAGAATAATTAATGACCCAACAGTTTGTTTTTATGAAATTTGTAACACTGATCAATACAATGAATAGAAGTGACACCGTCTACTGCTGCAGATTATATAAAATAAAGAAATCACCTGTCGCATAGGCAACGGAGCTGTGTAGAGGGGCCTGACATCACTTGACATGGACGGTGAGATAAGTCTTGCTGGCCTTGTGGCAAGTGAATTGTTTTTTCAGTTTACCAGTAGAAATTACTTTTATATTTTAGACTCTTTTTAATTTAAAGTATGATTTTTTTTCCAAATTTTAAAAAAAGGTTCTTTTTTTTACCCGCTCATTTAGTGGGTAAATGCACGATATGGTACGGTATTCAATCTTACACATCTGGGGGAATCTCCGATTTGATCTTGAGTATGTGCGGCTAGGTGATATTTATTAAATTGGTCCTGGTGTCCTGGTTAAGGGAGAGGCAAAAAATCAGAGTTCTGCTTCTGATATTCAGTGACCTCTGCTGGACATGGTGGTGTGGACATCCAATGAGCACAAGATCCAGGTTGACAAATGCCCCCTATAATTGACTGGCCTGCAGATACTCTGAGCAGGATAGTTACTTGACTAGGGTGCCAAAGAGTAAGAGTCCACATTAGTAAGAGCTGCACTACACCATATGTGTTACTGCCGATGATAGACAAAACAGTCTCGCTCATCATCAGAACTTCGAGGGCAGACCAGTCACTGCAGACAGGGATTCTTCCCACTCGGTTCCTGTTAACCGTGCAAGCCCAAACCCTAATCGATAGTGTGGTCCTAGCTGGGCCAGAGGCCGGAAACCTGGCAGAGAGTGCATTCATTCGCAAGCTATGTACCCGTATTCTGGGGACTGGATTCTCTTATACTTATATATAAAGTTTTCCACATGTGTCAGACACTCAGCGGCCCAAAAATAATTTGTAACCAAGTTTCAGGTTGGATGGGGGTGAAGTTAATTTAACTGCAGTGTTCTTAAATAACTGAGAATAAAGCTAAGGGAGTGATTTGCATTTATTTCCCTTATAGTAAAAACAACTTAATGGACAGATGGAGGGAGTAGCCCAGATTGCTTTGATTAGCAAAGTAAACGCCACCCAATATCTCTGTTTATTTGCGTAAACTTGGATTGTATTCTGTTGAGTTTAGAAGGTTGAGGGGTGATATGATTGAGGTATTTAAGATGATAAAGGGATTTGATAGGGTAGATACAGAGCAGCTATTTCCTCTGGTGGGGGAATCCAATACAAGGGGGCATAGTCTTAAAATTAGAACCAAGCCATTTAAGAATGAAATCAGGAAGCATTTTTTCACTCAAATGGTTGTAGAAATCTGGTATTCTCTCCCCCAAAGCGGTGGATGCTGGATCCATCCACACCTTCAAGAGTGAGGTTGGTGGATTTTTGGTAGGTCAGGGTAGTAAGGGATATGGGAAGAAAGCGGGAAATTGGAATTGCAAGGATTAGTTGATGTACAGATCAGCCATGATCTAAGTAAATGGCGGAACAGGCTCGGAGGGCTGAATGGCCTCCTCCTGTTTCTATGTTCCTAAATGATCCACTGGAGAAATCTTCCAAGTATTGCTCCTAGGACTTTTATCAGAGAGAGAGAGAAGGGGGGGGAGGAGAGCACCAGATCAAAGGTGGGGTGCGCTAATTGACTTTTGTGGCCCATGGAAAAAAGAGAAAATTCAATTAGAACTTCTGAACAATGTCCAGTGCCCCATTACTGGAAGGTACTAATATTCTAATGTTTATGGACAGAATCGGGATTGACACTTGCTGCCTCCTAATTCAAAAGCCTGCCAATGTTCACTTTCGCTTCACGGGCTCATATAGGAAGAATGGCACTTGGGTAACGTAATAGTTTGGCCCATGGTTCTGTGCCTGTGCTGGCCAGGAAAAATATTACTATTAAAAACAATCCCCAACATTTCACTTCCTTGTTGCTGTGCGAACTTCTATCAAACAGTTAAGAATAGTTTTTGTATAATTGTTTGAAGCAAAATTGAATTATGCGTAATTGTTTATGATTTGTCCTGACAGAGACGAGGTCCACAGCGTTCCGTGGATGTGATTGTTTCATCTGCGTTCCTGCTCACATTATCTGTAGTATTTATCTGTTGTGCCCAGGTAAGAATCTTGTGATCTCTTAATATTTGCAGTGTTATCAAACTTCTCCCATCCGTTTTCTCCTATTTCACCTAATACAGAGTGGCCAAAAAGGCTGTGATAACTACCCTATTATCTAAACACTAAAAATATCCTCATTTCTTTAAGACTTATTAGACATTGTAATGGTATCATGACTTTTTGGTCACCCTGTATAACTTACCCTCCCATTTTAGATTTGTCCTCTTGGAGTTTAAAGAATATAAAACACGAAGGCCAAATAATCTGGCCTTAATATATGAGTAGAAATAAAATCAGCTACTTGTCTAAACTTATTTCAATTTTTTTCTAGTTGCTTCATATCCATGAGACCTTTCTCGATTTCCACTATAATTGGGAACTAGTGATATGGTGTATTTCATTGACACTGTACCTGTTGAGATTTGTAATGCTGGGATCTGAAACAAATAACAAGTACAGCAATACCTCGATTTTACTGACTGAGCAGGTAATAAGCGTCTTCATAATTATTGCTAGTAAAATATCAAATCGGATGTGAATCATTGCTTTCTATATTTTGTGCACTATCTGTCTTATAATAATAATACTTGCATTTGATATAGCGAATGCAAGGCTTGTTTTTAATGTAACGTTTGTACAAGGAACAGAACTACTAAATCTAGTTTCAGTGGATTCATTGCTCTGCTGTGTTTATTGTTAATGTAGATTTCAATTTCGATCTTGATTATAAAGATGACAGTTACTATTATAGCCTGAATTAATTTGTCAGTATATTCTGCATTAATATGTGGATCTGTATCAAATACAAGGATTATTATTATTATGTGATCTTTTCTCCTAGATTAATTTATACTTAAAGATGGAAAAGAAACCTAATAAGAAAGAAGAGCTGAACTTAGTGAACAATGTTTTGAAGCTTGCAACAAAGTTGCTGAAGGTAAGCAATAATATAAAGTAATCGCAATATCACAATATCTGCCTACGTATTGACTTTTGTGTTAGTAAATCCTGAGCAAATTCTTCCGCATTCACAGCAAGATTTTAAGGTAGGGTGATACCAAATCTGGGGACACATATAAAAATAATTGAACTTGCCACAATTACTGTTGCTGGCAGTACTGGAGAAGCTTGTCGGATTAATGGCTGTGTTTCTCTGATGAGTGCACCTGTTTCAAAATGTTATTGTTCTTTCTCAGTTTGTTGCTGAACTCAAGACCGGGCAAATTTGATTGGGGACACAATACCTCATCCAGGGACTGTCCCTGGAAATCAGGGACATGTGGCCACCCTAGTTTAAAGGGTATGAAAAACTGTGTAGGACAGACTAAAATTATTTCTTTACACGGAGGGCAATCAACATGTTACCAATATGGATGTTTGAGGCCAGGACGCTGGGTTCATTTAAGAAACAGCTGAAGCCTGTAACAGGGAGACAGGATTGTTATTCGGGAAGGATTTCTCTTGGATCAACGAATGTTGTTAGAGCTGCAGTACAGAGCTTTAGCCACACGATGGTGCCAAATTTCAAATTATTTTATCCACGCGATAAAAGATTCCACGTGTAAAATTTTGGTGGAGGGATTTTTTTGAGAATTATTCAGTTTGGTCATACGGATGGGAATATTTTACAGTGCCTGTGAAGACCTAGGAATGAAAGGAGTCACGTTGTCTGTACTGTGTTGCTGATTCAGTCACGAACAGAAAATGATCCCAATATGTGTAAAACTACAACAATAATGTTGGAACATTGTTGGAAATAAACAGCTCTTGAAAAGTTGAAGCTAAATACCCAATGGATGAATAGATTGGTTAGTGTTTTGAGTTTGTTAGGATCGGCTTATTCAGAGGATTTTTTTTCATTTTGTATGCACATAGAAAAATGTCCTGACTAAGAAATATTTTCTTAAAAAACTTAACATTCTTGCTTTAACCTCAATATTCTTTCTCTTCGCCCCTCCTGAAGTCTTTTTACTTCTAATGCATTATTGTTACGGGTGCCCTTTGGTACCTGGATCAAGTCAACATTATACAAGTCGATACTTTGATTGTGAGTTTTGGCAGGGTACTACACTATTGGAAGTGTCAGAGATAAACTTAGTCCCGTTGTTGCCTAAAATAGCTGGATGCACCTCCAGGTAGGATTGTTAGACAGCAATCAGGAGGAGGAACCCACTCTGTGTTTCCCCATCCCTAACCCAAGGCTGTTGAGACCAGTTGTAGCTCTTCAAGTGCTGTTTTGGCTGAGATCAGATAGCTCAGAGCAAACCAGGGATTAAAGGGGTGTGAATTCACTGAGCCGTAATGGAAACTCCAGACTATTCATTTTTAACACTATTTTTAACCCTATTTAGAAAGATTTACAAAGAATGTGCAGCACGGAAAATTCTCCTATTTGATTTATGAGACCAGTCATAAATCAAATAGGAGAATTTTCCGTGCTGCACATTCTTTGTAAATCTTTATAAATAGTATCTCGGAATAAACATAATTTATAAACACCAAAATATTAACAATTTTTTCGTGTACTTTTTATTTATTGCTGCAGGATTTTACATTGTAGTATTGATAAGTATTTAAAAATGGCTTTGGTAACATTGGGAACACGTTTTGTCTTTAGGAGTTGGATGCCCCTTTTAGATTATATGGACTGACCATGAATCCATTGCTGTACAACATCACCCAGGTTGTGATCCTTTCTGCGGTGTCTGGAGTTATCAGTGACCTGCTAGGCTTCAATTTAAAGGTAAGTGTCATGTACGGGTGTGTGCAAGAAGAATAATGCAGCCACCCAATTATCATCACTGAATTTACTTGCTGCAAGCAACATATTTATTAGCTATGTAATGAAATAACATTTTAGTATCAGGTGCTGTTTGTCTTAGTCCGGGCCCTGCAATTAACACCAACAACAAATTGCGTTTATAAACCGCCTTTCACGTCAGGAGGATGGATTTTGTTTGAAATATGACACTTTTCTCAGAATAAATAGGTTACTGTTTCAGAATATGCAGGTTTTTTTATTAATCAAGATCATTCCGATATGGTTCATTGACCATATAATGTGCGTAAAGTAATCCCATGTGTTGATGAATTTGCAGATGGTCAAAACCAGTGGAAGGAAATTTGTTTCCAATCGCAGCTGGATTTTGACTGATTTAACAGTGCAAAGCCTGGAAGAGGTTGTCTCTTTACTCCTTTGATCTTTGGTTTGGTGCACGATCCTGGGAAACCAGAGGAGAAGGAAAAATAAGTGCATGGAAAGGGGAGAAATGATCTATATTGACGTGTTTTTTTAAACACAAAACTTTTTAAAAAGTGCAAATTTGTTTTTTAAATTTTAAATTACTTTTCATAGTACTTGAGTGGGATTATCTGATCAGAAAATGAGTGATAAAATAAGTTATGCTCATTAGGATTTGATTGTGGCTCATTACTTGGGTAAACATACTCACTCTAATGGAGCATTGCTTAAATGCAAAGCTGACTCTCTAACTGGAACCGATCTCAGTTGATAGAATTATTCTATAGCGCTGAATATGCTGTTTCTGTTTATTGCAGCCTTGCCTTTGGCAGCAGAATGCAATATAAATGAGGTGGTGATGATATCCACCGCGGAGACAACACTAAATGTGTTAACACTCAGGACAGCAGCTGTGCACCCGCTGTTGTGAGGTGTGATTGCCAGCTAAGTTTTTTTTGTCTGACAGAGTTATGCTGAGTTTACAGACCATCTCTGACAGGCCAGCAATGTGCTTTATTGCACTCCTTCCTGCACAGACCCTCATCAGAGATGGAGAAGATCCATTAAAAGAATCATGACTTTTTTTTAAAACCCCATTTTCAGTTACTTTAAAGTTGCTGTTGGTGCTTGGGATCCTCACTGAACCGTACGTGGCATTAGCGTCTAATGATGAGATGCCCGATATTTCTTGCACATATTATCATTTTTAATTCATTGACTGTTGTCTTGGGAATTTATAAATAATTTGAAAGAACTTCCTCCAATTCCAGGATCGTCTTCAACCAAAAATTCAATAATGATCCCAAATCAGTTTTACCCATAAGGTTGATTGAAACGTCCTCCTAACGTGAAAGGCACTTTACAAATGTAATTTTGTTGTTTGTTGTTGAAGCCGGCTGCCATTTCCTCAAATCAGCCTCACCTGGGCCAGATTTCATTTGTTTAAGGAATATTTAATTATAATAATAATCCTCACATTTGTTACAGCGCCTTTCACATTGGAAGGACGTCCCAAAACACTTCCATTGTAAAGTGCAGTCAGTGAGTGTTTTATAGTTGAAATTGAATCTCAATATTTGCTTTGGTGTAAATCACTATGAGCTTCTAATTATGCAGTCACACCAGGTAATCTCATTGGGTTCAGATCCAGGGGAAGAAGAAATTCAATAAGCGCTGCACATTTACTTCTGGCCTATCCAATTTCGTGAGTAGGCAGTGATGCCATATTAAAAGATTTGGAGGCTATGTGAGGACTCTGTATTCAGAAAAGAAATGTAAGCCATGATTAACAATCCACCTCTCCTTTTCTAGTTTATTCTGAAAGGATGCATTTGCACCAATAAGCACAGGAGAAAATTATACAACAGGAGAGATGTAATACAGTTGAACTTCATATTATGACATATCGCCCACAAAAGATTCGTCCACAAATTATACAGTATGCAGTATATTCTGTGAAGTGCTTTGAGACGTCTCGAAGACGCTATATCAATGCAAGGATGATTATTATTATATCAGTAATGGGGTGGGGAGGGAGCGGACATATTCATTGTTCAGGCTTTTTTTACACTTCGAATGAATGGTAACAAGCTTGTCCTTAACAAACTTGTCCTTTAACTGTTGTTAAAATGGTACATTTTAGGCATGCTCCATCCAACGTCCGAAAGATGCCTTCAATACACCTCGCATCATCCTAATATATCTTGAGTTCTTTTTATTTGCAGGAATTTGTTTAGTTGCCTTTTGAAACCCTTTAGAGCTCTGTGTTTCACTACCTGTGATTCTCGACTGTTTAACATGTGCATCATCTTTTTGCTGAAAAGACAAATCTGGTTTGTGCACCGATGAATTGCAAAAATGACTCGTGTTGTGAAATGGTTAATGATTTTTTTTAAAAAAAACAATTACAGCTCTGGAAAATAAAATCCTGATGAGCAGCAAACAATCAAAATGGATCAGCTGGATTTGAGATCCAATCTACAGGGGAGCAGCTGCTGACAGCAGACATCCGACACTGCAGTTGGCTAATTTATGACGTATTGAAATGCTTACATCTTCAAAGTGTGCAATTTATATTATTTTATCTATTTCATGTTTCACATTTTTCTCATTTTAGTTATCAAACTATTTTGATTTACAAGTATTACTTTGGTCAAATTTCAGTAAGGAAGGATATATAAAAGCAGGTGAAGAAACCCCTTTCGTTTGTATATTCTATTTAGAGCAATAAAGCTTTATGCCTGCCATTGTGAAAGGTGTTTTGATAGATGCAACTTTAAAACTAGCGAGAAGTGTATTTATTCAAATGGACTGTCAGCACAGTTATTGCTGTGCATACACACAGGGTGCACTTTCTAATGTGACTTTTTTTAGTACGAGGCAAAATGTAGCGAGATCACTAGTGACCTGTTTTTATTTGTGTTTTTTTAAATGTAGATTATAGAGCGGTATGTTTAATAATGACCGAAGTGCATTTTGATGGATAAAAGAATGTATTATTACAGCTTTAACGATTTGTTTGAGATTGTCACCTAAAACTGAAGTGACAATGGTACATTTCTTTTCATTGTATGCCTTGGGATATATTTTCACCTACAACCTGTTTCCAGTATATTATTAAACTGTTCACGTTTTACGCTGGAGATAAATTACAGTGGTAATATGTTGGATCATTTTGTGTAGCAACCAACAATTCAGTACTGATTATGGGTACCTACAATTGTTTAAAATAAACTGACATCAGGGTTTCTTACCAACACCAGTATAAATGGTATTTGCTTTTAAAGAAATAAACATACTGTGGCTGATAAAGTGTAAGTTTGTTCTTATTAATATCTGAAAATGAGCTTTTTTGACTCCATTTTCATATTTTGTAAACTGTTCCTTCATTTTAGATTTTAGGACTGAAAGGTTAATACAGACTCATCAATTGCTCTTTAGTGTAATGTTTCATAGTTACAAAATAATAATCATTTGGTCACTCAATCCCAAACTGTTTGTAGGACATTGTTGTGCGCAATTGGCTGCCACGTTTTGCCCACGAAATGCACCGTGACTTCATTTTACAGTATATGCAGTATGTGAAGTGCTTTGTGATGTCTCAAAGACATGATAAGCTGCTATATCAAATGCAATAATTATTATCACATTATTATTAATAAGGTTCATGATGTGGATTGTAATGCATAGTAACATTTGTGAAAAAAAATGTCCTGCTTAAAAATCCTTGCTTTTGATATAGCATTTGACATATATCAATTTGACACGTAGCCAAATGGCTTAAAAGTGTTTGGCAATTAATTATAAAATGCAATATGCAAGTGACTATTTTGTAGGTAAAACTAGCATTGAGTTTATTCACAGCTCGGCGCTGCAAACAGCCATGAGGTGAATGCCCAATTATTCTGGAGGTTTGTTGGACAGGACACGAGGGAACGAGGAAATAAATTGTTGAACACAGCAATGAAAGGCGGGTTTCTGCCCACAGTTCTTCATAAACTGATCATCCAGAACTCTGCAGCCCGTGTCCTCTCCCACACCAGGCTCCATGACCCTATCAGCCCCATCCTTGCCCGACTCCATTGGCTTCCCATTACACAGAGGATGCAGTTCAAGATCCTGGTCCTCACCTTCAAAGCCCTCCATGGTCTTGCTCCCTCCTATCTCTGTGACCTCCTAACCCCCTACCAACCTGCGCGCTCTCTCTGCTCAGCGGGCTCCGGTCTGCTTCACATGCCCCGCCTCGCCCGTCCCACCATTGGCGGGTAGGCCGTCAGCCACTCTGCCCTCACCCTCTGAAACTCTATCCCACAGTCCCTCCACCTCAACCCCTCCCTTACCTCCTTGAAAACCCATCTCAAAACTCTCCTCTTTGACTGCCTTCGATAACCCTCCTTCCCCCCCCACCCCCTGCCCTCCACCCTCTCCGATCCTGATCCCCAGCTCAGGTCTGAAACACTGACTGTCAAGCACCTTGGGACGTCTCCCGAAGTGTAAGGCGCTATACAAATGTAACTTTGTTGTAAACTGAGTTGCCTTACTCAGAGGGAGATGCTGAGGGAAGGAGCAAGCACTTTATCACAGTGACATAGACAGAGAGTATGTGTGTGTGTTCCCCAGGCCATTCTTGTGCAGCTTCCAATAAATATGTTTAGTTTGAATTGACTGAGTCTTAAGTGCAGCTTTTCTGAATTTGCTCTCCACTGGGGACTGGAATGTGAGGTTCTGTAGTAATAATCCTTGCCTTTGATATAGTGCTTTATCATGTCTTCGAAGCATCTCTTAAAGTGTCGTGACTGTGTATTTTATCAAATGTGGCAGCCAAATTGCAATAGCAATGTCCCACAAACACCCATTAATCAATTTTTAGATAGAGGATCGAAGGACAGCAATAGAAACTCCCTTTTTGTGAATAGTGCTGTAGGATCTTTAATGTCCACTTGAACAGGTAGATGGAACCTTGGTTTAATGTCTCTTCTGAAGCACCTCTGACAATGCAACATTTCGTCAGCATTGCACTGGAATGTCAGCCTAGAATATGAGCTAAAAATAATGACATGGTGCTTGAACACACATCGCTCACAGTTCCAACCCGTCCCACCATTGGCGGGAGAGCCTTCAGCCACTCTGCCCCCAATCTCTGGATTTCCATCCCCCAACCTCTCCGCCTCGCCCCCTCCATAGCCTCTTTCAAGTCCCGCCTCAAAACCCTCCTCTTCGACCATACCATCGGCCACCCCCCTTCCCCTCCCCTCCCTTCCACCCCAACCCCAGCTCGGGTCTGCAATGCTGTACTCTGTCCAGCGCCTTGGGACGTCCTCCCGACGTGAAAGGCGCTATACAAATGTAATCTTGTTGTCGGCGTTCTGACTCCGAGGCAAGAGCGCTACCAACTGAACCAGGCCGACAATTCATTAGCAAAGACTGAAAGGCAAGCAGAAACGAAATGCCCTTTGAAAGATTATAGTTACTTATTACTAGAAAACCGTTGATTCCGCATGTCTATTGCAACACAAGAAGTGATTATTAAATTATTAGCCACTCAGTCATGAAGAGTGGCTCAGTTGGCAGTACTCTCAAATATTCACCTAATATCTTTGATTATAATAAATCTTAAATATCAGTGGCTATAAATATATTACAGAACACAATACTTTTTAAACTTTAGAAAATAAGTTATGCAATTTATGCCCGTCTCATATTAACATAACTGTCTCGAAGCTTTTGCATAATTCACCAGAGAATGAGACAGAATTCCACAATCGGCAGGAAGTTTACCAGGGCCTCTTACAGGTAAACCGGGATTTTTAACGGATTCAATTCCAACAGTGATTCAATTCCAACAAAACTGTACCGCATTGGGAAACTAATGCTGTTCCTTGTCCTTCCATCTGTTCTCTATCCTTAAGCAAGTGTTGAATTTCGCCCTCTGGCGGAGAGACTTCACACTCCAGAAACAGCAAACAAACTTTCTGTGAACAGCAGCTCTTAGCCATTGAGATGAAATACTTGATTCCCACATCTTGCTATCAACTGCTGTCAACGCAACAAAACATTCAATGTTTTTAAACTATTAACTGCAAAGCAAAAGCCGAGCATCAATTAGTTACAAATTGTGTACAGGGGTAACAAAATTAGGAATTCTATTGTAACTGCAGGACTGGTTGTAAAGAGACTGAGATCCATCTTAGGATGTACTGGCGAGGAGAGAACCAGTCACTGATAACCTAAAATAAGTACTCGTGTAGAAAGCAACCAGTCATTGTGATAATCTAGAGATAATAATAATCCTTGCAGTTGATATAATTAATGCCTTATATCATTGAGACATCTCAAAGGACTTCACAGGATACATCCCTCAACAGCCACAAAGTAAATGACCAATTTGTGGGGGTGGGGAGGTTTGTTAGCCAGGACACCAGGAGAAACTTCCTTCTCTTCGAATGGTGCAATGGGATCTTTAAAGTCCACCTGAACAGGCAGATAGAAGGGACTTTGGTTGTATCATTTGAAGGACGGCACCTCTGACATTGCAGCATCACCCCAGCACTTGCATTGAGGGCCGACCTTTCTTCGTTCAGGGGGTTGTAAGTGTGTGCATTGCATTGTTCCAATATCCTGTGAGGCTAAATCAATTGGGCTCTTTTAAAAAGTAGATAAGATAGATCCTTGGGAATTTACCATATTATGGAGTGTGGAAAAAGATAGAAACGGGATTAAAATGATCTGCCATGATGAAACCGATTCAATGGGTTGAATAACTTCATCATGTTCCAACAGTCATGTGTTTTTTTGTGAGCAAAAATCGAACCGGGGAGAAATTGGAGGTTTCTCGATGACAAAGGACTAGACCACGTACGTGTTTTTTTTAGCATCTTTTCTACAACTGAATAAATACAATCACCATACTTGATGAGTGACTAGGAAAGCAGTTTTTTTTTATTTTTCACAAACTAGAATAGTGAGAACTTGCCCTCTTCTGGGAGATATTGATTTCCCTCGATTGATGAAATGATTTTCACAGTGGCTGGGATGGAATGGAACGCTTTGTCACTACCTTTTCTTTGCAAATTACGCTTGAGCAACACCTTTTTGGTAGCAGGCTTGACGTTAATCTTATTTGGATCATACATGCTTCAGAAAAAGATTGCATTGCGAGGTTGATTTCACACAAGATAATTACACTGTGACTTACCCCCTGATATTAAATAATTAAATTTTTGCCATCTATCCATATTTCTTCTTCAAGCAAACTGTATATCCTTGTCCTGTCATCTCCAATAGAGAGAGNAAAAAACTGCTTTGATCCCTTTAAAATGTCTCTTCCCTGTCCTTAAATAAATTGATTTTCCAAATTCATGACTTGGTTCCTACACTGTGCAGCTCAGAGTGATTGATGGTCCCTTTTGTTTCTTAATGATCTCCATAGCATTGAATTATTAAAATTTGAATGTCTGCCAAACAGATTTCTGCTGCGTCTTTCTGTATATTAAACTCTGCCATCTTGTCCCACTCGAATTAACCCCTTCACCCACTCTGCTCTTCGCTGTTCCTTTTCTGCATTCAATCCACGACTGTTTGTGGGACAGTTTTTTGCGCAATTGGCTGCCGCATTTCGCCCACAGAATATACAGTCACTACACTTTCCAGTATATTCTGTGAGTCGTTTTGTGACGTCTTGAAGATGTGATAAGGCGCTATATTAAATGTAAGGATTATTATTATTATTACACATTCCCCTATCATTGCCTACAGTTTTGCCTTTTCACAATTTCAAACCGTTACAAGTACACATGAAGATTAAAAGACGTTTTGTTACAAATCTGAATTACTGAAATTAATAATAATTCTTCCATTTGATGCAGTGCCCTATCACGTCGTTGAGACGTCCCAAAGCACTTCAAAATGCATATCGTAAAGTGAATTGACTATATTTTGTGGGTGAAACGTGGCAGTCAATTCTGCACAGCAGTGTCCCACCAACAGTCGTGGATTGAATGACCGACATTTTATTTCAATTCTTATTCCAAATCATATTTTAAACGTTTATTATTAAACACAGGCTCCTGCTTTGTGGTCTGATGCCAGGATCATACACAATGCGTTGCGAACACATACATACACGTTTGACATGTGCAATTCACCAGTTTGAGAGGTTCTGATCTCCACTCAACCAAGAAGAAAAGGCAGTGAGATGGAGATAATTTCTCAGCAGAGAATAGAAAGATCAGATGGGATAAATCAATCCAGGTCATTGTTTTACATCTATTGGTAAGTGGCTCCTTGTGCAGGAGTATTAGTAGAGGAA